TTCCACGCAATATTGGTATACGATTACATGTGACATCCAAGCCAGCGAGTCTGACCTCCCGTCACTAGCTGAAGACCAATTCTAACCTGGATCTTCACGTGTCTTTCATCTACTGTGTGTGACCAAATGATGCTAGCTTTTCAGTAAGAGACAGGAATTAATGAATCGTGTTGCCTGGATTGATGGATCATGGATCAAACTGACCAATGGCGTGTCTTTCTCAACAGGCCACTGTGACATACCAGGAATTCTGCTGAACAACAAATAACAAACACATATATACATGTAGATATTTTATATCAATATAACAGTCCTGAATTAAACAGAAACAAGATATTTACAGATCCATGATCAACAGTGTAATTATATAACATGACTCAAGTAACCCGGAAGCCCATCACATCAGCCATACATCAGTCGCCATCATAAATACATCCCTGTGAAGTCTCACAGTCTCTTAGCCAGCATACATCTTTTACCCAATAGCATCCACTCAGCATATTCCATTATCTTTGTTATACACCATGCCACAATGAGGCAGTGATATGGCATATCACTGTAATCTGCATGCTGACCAATTCCACCATACATACTTTGTACAACTTAATTACATATATGTGTAAATTTACATTGGTGTGGAAGCATGTAATTTTCAGGACGGACATCTGTACATATTTTACAAGTCATTGACAAAAGTAATTCTTCAATATAACTTAATATTTTAATCAATGAAATATTCATGATCATAAACAAAGAAATATTCATTATCATAAACAATAATAAACATGTAGAATCTGTGCTATGGACAAGAGGTTTCGAACATCCATTGCATAAAAAGTACTGGAGCCCAATCCACAATGTGTTTATATGAGGTGGCCATAGCTTCCATGATCAAACAAATGTTTGACTGTTGTAGCTCTTGAAACACTTAGTGGGTTCAGCTCTATGGCCCTGTTTGTAATTATATAACATGACTCAAGTAACCCGAAGCCCATCACATCAGCCATACATCAGTCGCCATCATTAATACATCCCTGTGAAGTCTCACAGTCTCTTAGCCAGCATACATCTTTTACCCAATAGCATCGACTCAGCATATTCCATTATCTTTGTTATACACCATGCCACAATGAGGTAGTGATATGGCATATCACTGTAATCTGCATGCTGACTGATTCCACCATACATACTTTGTACAACTTAATTATATGTGTAAATTTACATTGGTGTGGAAGCATGTAATTTTCAGAACGGACATCTGTACATATTTTACAAGTCATTGACAAAAGTAATTCTTCAATATAACTTAATATTTTAATCAATGAAATATCCATGATCATAAACAAAGACATATTCATTATCATAAACAATAATAAACATGTAGAATCTGTGCTATGGACAAAAGGTTTCGAACATCCATTGCATAAAAAGTACTGGAGCCCAATCCACAATGTGTTTATATGAGGTGGCCATAGCTTCCATGATCAAACAAATGTTTGACTGTTGTAGCTCTTGAAACACTTAGTGGGTTCAGCTCTATGGCCCTGTTTACAAAGCGATCATGGCACTATGACACATCTCCTATGGTTAATACTGACTGACTGACTGAGTTTGGTTTTACGCCGCTTTTAGCACTATTCCAGCTACATCAAGGCGGGGAAACACCAGAAATGGGCTTCACACATTGTACCCATGTGGGGATTTGAACCCGGGTCTTCGGCGTGATGAGCCACCGCTTTAACCACTTGGCTACCCCACTGCCCCTATGGTTAATAAAACTTGCCACAGTTGTAGGGCTACAACCTCTTTGTGAAACAGGACCAAGGATGGCATATATATACAAATTTGAGTATATTATCAGTGTTCGAAATACCTGCCTGCCCGACCGCCCGGGACAGGTTATTTTCAACTGCCACATTCTCAAATTCACCTGCCCGACGGTCGGGTTAAAACTAGGCATGTATATGAAGGTATTTTGAGGGCAGGTAAGTTTTGGTCAGGGCTGGCAAGTTTTACATCTAACCAGCCCTGTGGTCTGGCTGAAAGTTTTGGGAGTTTCATACCCTGATATTATGCAGCAGATTCAAAGATTTTGTGCCAAATCTACAACATTTCCGGATCAAGTGTCTCAATCAAAAGACTTTCCTTTCATCCATCAATTTTTAACACAATAAGAACATCATTTGTTTATAGACAGTCATTAATGTGCTGAGCAAAATGACTCTAATTAACATGAACATCAATGCTTAAATCTGTACACAGTGAGAGTTTATACAGCTGATGAGGGCATTTGTCACACTGGAATGCATAACTTCACAAAAAACACAATCCTGCATACACAAACTCAGTCATCAAAGTCCTTTCTTACACCAACAAAATATAAACTTAATAATAAAGACATTTTTATGCATCTCCTTAAAACTCACCTTTTCCACTCAGCAATGCATTAGGCTTTTGGGAAAGCGTGTAGACATGTAAAATTCCTTGATTTTAACTTTGTCATGAAGGTGCTTAAGAAATCTATTCCTATTATTATTTAACCTGTAAACACACTTCCATTGTCAATCTAAAATGGACAACATGTTGTTAACATCTTGCTTAGATTGTCTGAGTGTCTCCATATCATGCACACTATTTGTATTTGATTCGCTTGTAAACAGATAAATAAAGGTTCATTATTAAGGATTCAATAGAAGGCATTTTCAGTCTTATTACAGAAAACATAAAAATATAAATTGGGCATCTTAAGTGAAGGTTATACAAACATGTGTATCAACGTTACCCTGTCTATACTGACATACCTTGAAAGCTCAATGTAGAGTTTGGGGAAGTTTTCTGTGAACACACATGAAACAAAGAAATTGTTATATGGCAGTGGGACTTAAAGGCATGGAACACTGAAATAATGCTGATTTTTTTGTAACATGTTATACTTGGGATTACACTTTCACAGTAAAGTACAGATTCTAGTACTATTGAAATTAAGTCCCATCAGGCACCTAATTGCCAGCACACAAAGTCAGAGATCTAACCCCTAATATAAGCCAATGTGGCTTTACTGAGAAGGCAGGGGCGTAGGAACAAAAAAACAAAAGGGGCGGCTAAGCCCAATTTTTTTCAAGACGAACCCATATCTACCTTACCATAACTACAATTTCATTTTGATTTTCAATACTTTTCATAAATTAGCCCCCCCCTGCACTGAAAACCGTTCCTACGCCCCTGGAAGGTGAAATACAATATAACATATGTTACATTTCACCACTTTCTAAATGGCATTGTACATTCAGTGAGTACTTTAAGTTTGAATCCTCATTCATACTGTCACTCCTGGGCATACTTTGCTTTCAAGTTTCTGAATACTGAAAACAGCAGGTGAGTGCATTTCCTATTCTGTCTCTATAGAGATATACAATGCTAATTGTGCAGACAAGAATCTGTGGAAAACTGGACTCCAGGTTTCTGCAACAAGATGACATTTATGGTCCCGAATAATAATAATAATATAATTTTCAAAATTATATATTTGTCCTATTTCTATATCTCCTGCTGTTATCTCACAAATATGGACCTTTGTCTAAACTAGTCTCATATACTGGTCTCAACCTCTGTTTAGATAGATTCCCCTGTATATGTAAAAAAAACTACCTATAGAATGGCAGGCTGCTGGATTCTGAAGAATTTTCATGTCTAATGCTCTCTTCTTACAGAATGTTGGTCAACTTCTTTTCCAGTGATCCTTCTCAAATTTACACTGATGTGATCAAATAAATCATATAAACAATGGGGGCAGTTAATAAAGGGAGGTAACCTGGTCCTGGAAAAACCTTGTGCACAAAATGAGTGTTTGATTTTATGACAACTTTAGCAAAGTTCCAGCAATATCATGGCTGGTGGAACCAGAAGTGGGCTTCACACATTGTACCCATGTTGGAAATCAAACACATGCCTTTTGTGTGTGATGTGTGACAAGTGACACTCAGCCATAACACCTTTGAACAAATAAACACTTGGTAATTGGTGAGTATTTAGTGGACCCTCTCACATGTTGGAATCAGGTTGTTTCAGTCAAATTTCCACCAAATTCTTACATACCGACCATAGTATACAGAGTGATCTCCTCTCAAAAATGAAATTCAACCAAGATGATTAACATCATACATCTGAATTAATTAATCAAATTAAGAAACAAAAAGTATGATAAATTAAAACAAGAAACATGATTCCTTAAAGAAAACAATGTCAACCTAGTGATTGATATCATGAGCAACCATGCACATCATCAGGACAAATACATGATCAAATCACATGCCCCGTCACATGATACATGGGATAAATTCTTGAAAGACACAAAACCTGATATTAATTATGCGGGTTTCCTCAAAATACACTGGATTACTTAATCAAAAGAGTTAGCAAACCCATACCCTACCTCATAAGTAAACATAAGGATTGTTGGGGTGTTTGATTAGAAAGAGGCATCCAACCCTTAGGATTGCATTTTGAAGGGAAAGGGATTATTAAACCCTATGACTATAACGGAGGACTTGATCAGAAATATGCCAGCAATAGCGCAGCAGGGGACAGCAAGAATTGGCTTCACACACTGTACCATGTGGGGAATCTTACCTGTGCTTCTGACAGACAAACACTTTAACCATTGGGCTACTTGCCATTGAGAAGGTAAAAACACAGACGTCCTAGCAATACTGACATATTTATGGATAACAACTTCTGTTCTTTAGGAAGCGCGACATTTCATCACAGATTCTTGTACCATTGTCCTGCAAGTTGTTATTTATAAATCTGTCAGTATTGTACTTCCCAACTTCTAAAATTCCAATCAAAGAAGTTGCTGACTTCCTACACACAGACAAATAATCAGGCTGTGCGTTGGCCATGATCTCCAACTCAGTGTTCCATGCTGCCAGCCTTGTGCCTCTGTCACAGGCCATCGACATGTGATGATTCGTCACATCTTACAAAGATCATTCAAGATATCGTATAGGACTGGTTTAATTTTTGACAACCATACACCTTTAGATAAGTACATGTTTTCATATAAAACAGTTACAGTTATTAAAAATAAAAGCACTGCATTATATGATAATACCATCAAACTGACGCAACAGTCTATATGTGTATTGCATATTGATTTAGTGTATTGCAATAAATATTGTATCTGAAAGTCCCCTCATCAAACTTTGTCCTTCATAAATTTGCATTTGCTTATTTGTTTACCGTATAATGCCACACTCAGCAATATTACAACCATATGATGACAACCCAATAATAATTACCTGGACCAGACAACCCAATGATCAATATTGTGAGCAACGATCAACCCCATGGGCTACATTGACATGTGAGTAATCGAATCTCTGAGTCTGACTACCCAGTCCACTAAGTAAGCTCCTATGACCAGCAGATGCTGCTATGATGGATCCTAACCCGTAATCACCATTGGGTTTGTCCTTCAACATACTGATGATGATGAGGTGATGGTCATATTCTTCAACAAAACCTGAGATATCTGCCCTCCCTGATGAAACAATGTTGAACATAGGATGATAGGACTTATCACACGACACGATGGTCTTCATCCAGTCCTCAGAAACAATTGCACAATGTATGTTGGATTTAATTCATGAAGCACCATATGAAAGTTGATACAATGAAACACACTTGACTGTTTACAACTGGACAATAAACAGCTCTATCTGTCTCCCTCACACTCTGTCATCATTTTTCCATCCATGTCGAATTGTGTTTTCAAAATGTGGTCTTTATCCCCCTGCTGAGAATGGAACTTCTTATTTTGTGACAATACTTCAAACAGGAAACCTTTATCTTCTGCGAAAAGGCAAGAGTTTTGTCACCATGAAAAAGATTAAAGACCACCTCCCTTGGTAAACTTTTTTTGTAAAACATCTCACATTTGATCATGTCTAGTTTTTCCTGTCACTTGACAATAACCCTATCTTTTACCATCATTTAAAGACTTTTGTAATTCTCTTCACTGGCTAAACTTTGTAGAGTTAAACATCTCAAATCTTATCCTGTCCAGTTCTTCCTGAAGCTGAGCAATTGTTCTGTCTCTCTCCTCCCTCTCCATCAACACATCCTTCAGCAGACGGTCTCTCTCTCCAAGGTCATGGCGGAGCGTGTCAAGGTCGCCCTCCTGCTCTGACACCTTCCTCTGAAGGTTGTGGATGATCTGTAATGATGAGGATGAAGCTATACATACCGGAAATGAGCAAATGCTTGAGTGAGTGAGTGAATGAGTGAGTGAGGTTGGGAATGTAGTGTGATTATACAACAGTAGGTACTATGGGCAGGAGGATTGAAAAATTGATTAATGAATACTCATCACAATTCAGTTGAATTGATGAGAGAGAAATGAAAACTGAGGTGTATGACTTTTCCCGTGCAGTCAGACCACATGCAGTTGACTACATGGGAAGATAGATTGTTAAATAGAATTTAATAGTTTATTGAAGCTTCATAGCTAGCTGCAAAAGTACTAGATAGTAGAAAATAGAATTTAAACTGCAATAGAGCTAGAAAGATTAGTGCAAATAATCGACTTTAAGGTCACATTAAGTTAGTTAGCCCATTTGCATTCACGTTTAGTTCCCCATTTTTTATTGTTTGAATTATCTCATCAGTTCACCAAGAGAGTCACGTTTAGTTCTCCAAATAGCAGATTTCAAAACTTCATATTTTGTTAGTTTAGTTTTTCAGTTTAAATATTATGTCCTGGGTAACTCAAACTCAAAGATTTTCAAGAATTTTGTATGAACCCAAGGCATGTTTTATAGGGATGTACCTGTTCTTTTGTAAGGAAGAGGTCACTTGTAAGGAGGTCTTTGGCTGATGGACGTTCTGGGGGCTCAGTGTGAGTCATCTTGAACACTGCCTTCGCCTGGAATACAAGATTAAATGCACATGTATTTTCTGGAGCTTAATTCCCAATCTTATCCTTCATTCTTCTGTATGGTTTGTTGGTTCCAAAATCATTTCAATATTATCTAAAATAAACAAGATCAGCCGTGCATGAGAAAGACCCTCCCTGGGTGAAAATGTTTTTTAAAACACAGGGTCATGTTGAAGAAAATGTGACTGTCTAATGGGAGGTAAAGTGAAACTTGTACATCTCCATGCTCTCCCTGATTTGAGGTGAGGTGAGGTGAAATTGGGTTTAATGTCGTGCTTGAGAATATTTCGCTCATATGACGACGTGCATGCGTGTGTATGTGTATGTGCGGCTGCTTGTACTAGCCCAGACTTAAGCTGGTTTTATAGTGCTAGCCTACTGAGATACCATGCCGCAGTTAAGCATGACTACCTCACTCAGACACATTATACTGACTCCCGAGCCGACCAGTCCTTGTTGTACCCATTAATGCCGAGCGCCAGGCAGGGACCAACAAGTACCATATTTTAACGTGTTTTGGTATGACGCGGTCGGGGATTGAGCCCGTGACCTTCCGCTCTCCGGGCGGACGCTCTAACCATTACACCACGGAGGCGGTATCCCTGATGTGAACTATCTCTAGCTGATATGACTTGATCATAAAATGGTGATGCAAATGTAAACAAACTATATAAGGTCTAACCAGAAACATGTAATTGAATTAGGTTTTGTTTGTTGTTGTTTAACACCACACTCAGAAATATTACAGCTATAAGATGGCTGTCTGTAAATAATCCAATCTGGACCAGACAATCCAGTGATAAACAACATGACCATAGATCTATGCAATTGGGATAAGATGGCATGTGTCAACCAAGTCTGAGAGTGTGACCACCCGATCCTGTAAGTCGCCTCTTACGACAAGCATGGGTGCTGAAGGCCAATTTGAACCTGAATCTTCATAGATCCAATAGGAACTAAAAGGTTTGGTATATATTTTGCCACAAGAAAGTAGTTCTGTTTTCATAAAAATGTCAATAAATTATCCAAGCTGGTCAACCTGGGTCCAGTATAAAAGGAAAGATATAGTTGAAGCTTTATACAGTGAAACACTATTGTGTCGAACTTTAAAGTGTCAAATTTACTGTTAGGGTGTTGTCATTACTCGTCACGCCGAAGACCCGGGTTCGAATCCCCACATGGGCACAATGTGTGAAGCCCATTTCTGGTGTCCCCCGCCGTGATGTTGCTGGAATATTGCTAAAAGCGGCGTAAAACCAAACTCAGTCAGTCAGTCAGTCTTCAGTCATCATTTTGTGGTTGTATTGAACCACAGATAACTTAAGTATTTAAATTGATTCCTTCAACTTCAACATAATGGTGTTTGACTGTATTGTAGGACGAAGCCATACCTGCCCTGGCCAGTGTTGGGAGAATACATCGGGTATATCTCCCTTCTTGAGACTTGTGATAGCTTCGTGTCTCTCCATCTCTGTCACAAAGCGATTGTACTGCTCAAACAGAATGACTCCCAGGCTGAAGATGTCACACTGGTAATGTGGAAGAAAACATACGATTTAACTACTGTAACATATGTTATATATGGGATGAAACTTTCTCAGTAAGGTACAGATTCCAGTACCTTTTGAGGTTACATCTTATCTGGGATTCAAACCCATACCCTCAGAGTCAAGCACCTAATCGCCAGCACACAAAGTCAGTGACCTAACCCACCCTGGCTTCCACACAAATGGAAGCCTGACCATTGGTAGTCCAGATCATGTACTATGTTTACCCCTCTGACAAGCTGGTACAATGTGTGAAGCCCATTTCTGGTGTCCCCCGCCGTGATATTGCTGGAATATTGCTAAAAGCGGCGTAAAACCCAACTCACTCACTCACTCACTCAGACAAGCTCCCACAGCCGAAAGCTATGAATACACACAATGTCATATAGAAAGTTGTCAAATGTAACACGTTACATTTGGGATTACACTTTCTTACAAAAGTACAGATGTAAGCACCTTTTTGAGCTTTAGTCCCATCCAGGATTAGGTGATTTGGTGCCTGACTCTCTGATTCTCATTCGAAACTCTCTGATTATATTTATTTGAGAGATACTGAAAAATGAAACCTTCATTCTGAGAATATAAAACTCAATGGAGGTGTCTTCAGATCTTCTCACACAAAGGGATCATCATCATCATCATCATCACCATCATCATCATCATCATCATCACTGTATATTATTAGTCTCATTCTGCTTAAAGCTCACCTTGTTGTCATACATGCATCTTTTCAGTTGTTCTGGGGCAGCATATGTCAGAGTCCCCACTTCAGCTGTGTGACGGTCGAACTTGAACACTTCTGTGACACAATCAAAACAGTGACAGGGTTTAACACAGGGGTCAGTCAACACACCAGGATGTCAAACCACATTCACTCACTCACTCAAAATAGGCTGTGAGTGAGTCGATGTTGACGTTATATTCCAGCTATTTGACAAAAAATACAACTTACATGAAACAATCTGGTTTTTCTAAGGCACTGTAGCTCATCTGCACAAATATACATAAAATCTTAGATTAGGCCAGAAATACAGATTAGGCCATAATAAATTTATTACAAGATTTTAATCCTCACCTCCCCCACTACCACACACCCATTCACAAGAATATATAAAACATCTTGTAAAAGGTGAGGTGAGGTGAGGTGAAATTGGGTTTAACGTCGTGCTTGAGAATATTTCGCTCATATGACGACGTGCATGACTGTGTATGTGTATGTGCGGCTGAGTGCTAGCCCACTGAGATACCATGCCACAGTTAAGCATGAATACCCAACTCAGACACATTATACTGACTCCGAGTCGACCAGTCCTTGTTGTACCCATTAATGCCGAGCGCCAGGCAGGGACCAACAAGTACCATATTTTAACAGTATGACGCGGTCGGGGATCATACCTGCAACTTTCCGCTCTCCGTGGCGGACGCTCTAACCACTACACCACGGAGGCGGTCCACCTAAAAGGTGACCATGACCTATCACATAACTACAAATGACATACAATGCAGTGGGATTGTTTTATCAAACATATACATGTAAGGTTCCATTCATGTAGAGCTAACCATGCCCAAACCTGCAAAACCTCAGTGCTGACCTTGACTTTAGACGAATCTCAGCTCAAATCTGTTCAAATCAGGACACCATTTAAAAGAGAAATGCCTAAATGTTCCAAAACTATTTTTGAAGCATTTGTTTTATCTCATGACCTTTATCTTTGACCTTTCGAAAAGAATTTCCCTCGGGAATTTTGGAATAAGTCTAGGAAGAATTATCTTTCATTTCAGTATATCCTTGTGTTGTATATCTTCAATCCACATAAAATCAATCCCCATGTATTGTTAAATTCTAAAATAAACCCCTAAATGAAATCCCATAAAAATGGTTGCTGAAAAAATGAAACACAATATTAACCAGGGGCGGATCCAGGATTTGGGAGAAGGGGGGGATGCACATACATCATTAATTCCAAAGGTTAAGGAAAATGCTCTTTAGGGAAAAACAATTCGGAGGAGAAGGGGATGCGCACCCCCGCTCTGGATCCGTCCCTGTTAACTGTACCAATGAAACTCTTATTATGGGCTCTAAACAGGTTGACATTTTGTTCATGACTTCACTGATGAGATCATTGATGTACTGAAAGACAGAAGTATAAACGAAAAAAAAAGCATTAAAGGTCACATGCAACCAAAAAATCAAACATAATTAAAACACAATTATCACTTATTCATGACATATAATATGCATTGCTGGTTATGAAAAAGCATATAAACAAAATTATAAGCGTACAATCGCAAATCAAAAGTGCAATATTGTGTACTTGGGTTTACTTCCCAAGAAACGAAGCAGCCGGGATACCGAACCCAGTCAGAGCGGGTGGGTGTGCACTCAAGTGTAACAGTTGGTTCATTTGCTGATGCCCTCATGGCTCATTGTGTGTGTGTATACATTGTGTATATAGAGATGTTGGGTTTTGTAAATACATGCTCATTTTTTGTGTATAACATTTTGCAATCAACAGACATCATAACATGTCATGTGTTCAAGTATCACACCTGCCTGTCTGTGTAATTACATAATGTGACAGAGACCGAACTCGGGCCATAAATCAATGCGTTTTGTTTATGGTGTATAGCCTGATTGGTGTTAAGTTCAAATTGCATGTGGTCAGTGATCCCAGTTGTGTATTGAATATTGTCATTAGCAGACAGGCAGGCAGACACATAGGTGTCAATAAAACAGACATTGAGTTTTGTCTGTGACAACGACATATCTATATCACAGTTAGAAATTCTGTCAACGCTAAATAATGACATTGCTTTTAAGTATCGAACAGAGAAAGTGACTCGGTAAGAAGAACGTGTGGTGAAATAGACAAATAAAATTATATAAACAGTTTATTTACTGTCATAACATATAAAAAGCTCACGCCTGTGAGATATCAACAAAATATTAGGAAAATAGCTCACACCAAAGCCTTCACCGAGTATTCACCGGACAGCCCGCTTCCAAGTTGCGCGAACCTATTTCACTGCGCACGTGCTATGAGCGCAGCCCAGCTGTTGAAACCAGTTTTCCCCCGAAAAGTCGGGGGAAAATTAGTGAATCGTTTGAACTCCGATTTCACGCGGTTTTTTCATCGCGTTATTTTTCAACTTTATAAGTTGAATTTGCATTTTTGATGATTTGTTTCGGTAAGTCCATACCGAAAGGTATCAGAATCTGCAAAGTTGTGTTTTACGTTGCATGTGACCTTTAACAAAAGACTGTAGCAAGACACACACACTATTTCATTACTCAACTATTTACCATACTTAGTAATGGCTAAAAATATGTGATCAGTGTTTGGGTTGACCAAGATAAGATTCTTAATGACACTGGACCTAATTCCTGTGAGTAAATTTCAAAATCACCATTTTGAGGATCATCCATCCAAAGTTTCAGCTTCACAGTCTCTGTAGATTCAATGATGTCTAAAAATATAGAGGTTCATGATGTACAGATGAGAAGGTCATGATTTCATACATACTACACCACGTTGATAGCTTAGATTTGGGTCATATATATTTTACACAAGTAATTAATTCTTATTACAGCAGAGACTGGATCCTTAAAATAAATCTAAGCATCATTAGTAGTTTCAGTTAAAAATGAGCTGTTTGCAGATTTTGTAAGAATTGTTTGTTGTTTAATGCCGCACACTGCAATCTCCCAGCAATAGGAGGTCTGTCTGTATTGAATTGTGTCTGGACCATACAATCCAGTGATTGCCATCATGAGCATCGATCTGTACAATTGGGATACGATGACATTCATCAACCAAGTCAGTGAGTCTGACCAATCCAGTTAGTTGCTTCTTTTGATAAGCATGGTTTAGTGAAAATCAGGTTTGGAAAAACAGGTCTTTAGCAAGAGCACATGAAGGTCAAATGTCAGACTGTTACCAGAATCTGGTAACATGGATAAACCTTCAAGTGACACATCTCTAAAGTCCAAAGTTTCTGCTTCAACAGCTGTGGACTATACAGATGACAACTGAAACCTCACGAGGTTCAGTTTGATGAACTAAAAAACGTCCTGTTTTCCCTCATCACAAACTTACTATAGAAATCCAGTAAACTTAGGCTCAGTATTATTCGTTAAACTGCTATACTGAGTCTAACAAACCCCAGTAGAAGGTCTCGTCTAGTAACCTTTGAGCGAACTATGACTGTGCAATCAAACGTGAGACAGTTGAATGGATTAAAACAATCAGACAACTGCTACTATTTAGGGTTCGGCGGGACTTACAAAACGTTTTTTTTTATTTTCTCTTCCCCGGTCCCTGACACTGATCTCTCAACGAACAGAAATTCGCATAAAGCACAGATATTGGACCTGCACTACATACGCTTAGGGGTTGCTGATGTCATGGTTACTATTAGCTTATATTTCCGCAAGATGCCATCCTGGAATATTGACCAAAAAAAATCGCGACTGTTTACTCACAGTTGTGAATAATGGCGTCCTCCATGTGTATCACTCAGAAGCAATCGGGCGGTTAACAGCATTCGGAATCATTCGACTTTTCGGGGTAAATGTTCAAACAGTATGTGCAAATGTCAACTTTCGCGATTTGTTTACTTAGACTGTATAGAAATCACCACTAAAACCTGTAAATATACTTCTAAAAAGAGTTAAGGACCACCCAATTCTTTCATATCACTATAGTAATTGTGTCAATAGGTTACAAAGTGTTATAAGAAAGAATGGGATTGTCTTCAACTCTATTTTGCTATAATATTTGCATGCCTTTGTAGGGTGAATTTGCATTTTTTGTTTAAAACCAGACATACATTGCTTTTAGGGCCTTTTGGTTGTGTTTCCTTGATGATAAAGCGCCTGAAGATTATTATTTTGTTTTAGTTTACTTGAATCAGGCTGTAATTCTTGTGTCTTTGGTACCTTTATACGCAGGGGGAGATAACACAGTATCTCTGTCGTTGCTCATGATGTCCTCTGTAGCTAGACCAAAGTCTCCAATCTTCACATGGAGGGATGATCCTTGGAGGAAAATATTCCTCGGCTGAAATCATATATGGAAAATAACCATTAGAGTTTGCATCTTTTCTTCACAACCTGGCAAGTATGTTGTCTGCAATCTTATGGTCAAAATATATCTGAAATATAGCTGATGCGACTCAAAAGTTTGACTCACTCTGTAATCCTAAAATTGTAAGAATTTCATGTTTACTTGTTTAACACAAGCAACAGTATTAGAGCTGTTGGCAGCCTGTAAATAACCAAGTCTTAACCAAGAACAAATTAATGAAAATGCCTAAAATACTACATCCTTGGGATGCTACTACCATTAAAGAACAGGCTACATTTCACCTAAACAACCTTCTTCAGTCTGTGATTACACGGGATGTTCCCATTTCGCCTACATCCCATTTCGCCAACAGTAATTGAGGATGGCAACTCATCCACCCCTCATTCAGTGAATGGGATGGCCCACATTTCCTGCTCAGTGTCGTCAAAAGAATATGTTTACTGTTTTGTTTTGTTATTTTATTAATTAAGGTGGTTTGTTGCTTAATAATGCAAATTACTGTAATAGGTTTGAGATCAAAGTCACTTTATATCTATGTTGATAAGATTTGTTGTTTTAATAAAGCCTTAATAAAGTGGCTACTCTCAGGCTTCCTGCTAAATGTGCAATTTTGTTATGTTCTCTTCTCCGTGTACTGTTGGTTTAATGTACAGCATATAGTATACAGTATACAGGCGCTATAAAAGTACTCTTATTATTAATTATTATTACATGAGGGATGTGAAATGTTTGTGATGTCAAAATGGCAAACGCATTTCTTCAGAGAGTAGAATTTATTATGACACAGAGAGACGGGCAGCAAGTTCTATATGATGGTTATAGTGTAAACATATTTTATTCAAAATAAATTGAACTAGAATTGGTAAACAAGCCGTAATGGCTTACTTGAATACATCTCGATTTCATTGATACATGAATAAAACAAATATTAAATAATATGCAGCATGATAGGAAAGCAAGCAACCTGCGTATTAAACATTAATGATCATTTATCAAACCTATATGATTATATTATAAAAGTATGGACAGATTGTAGTATGAAAGAATTTACAAGTTCATTTTTGTTTGGATTACCATTTATATATTTGTGCTTATGTGATTTGATATAACTTGATATGTTCAAGTTTATGATTATATTATTTGATATATACTTGAGATATATATACTATTAAAATGGTCAAACCAACTCACAAGTTTGTTTCTCATTATTTGGGTTAGTCCATTAAACTACGTACAGTGAACAGCATACAAATCCTGTGTTCACTCAAGTGTAAATTTGTTTTGATAAGGGTGTAGGCGAAATGGGATGTAGGCGAAATGGGAACAAGCCGATTAGACCAAGTGACTCAGGCTTGTGATTATGCAGTGTTCGAAATACCTGCCTACCCGACCGCCTGGGACGTGTTGTTTTCAACACGGACTGGCACATTCTCAAATTCACCTGCCCAACGGTTGGGTTAAGACTTAGACATGTATATGAAGATATTTTGTGGGCAGGTAAGTATTGGTCAGGGCTGGCAAGTTTTACATCTAACCAGACCTATGGTCTGGCTGAAAATTTTGGGAGTTTCATGCCCTGGAGTATGGGCAAATTTGCATCCTAAGGTCATGAAAACAGTTAAGAAACTCAAATTAAAGCTGGTCTTGTGAATGTGACTTACCTTCAGATCCCTATGCATTAGGCCCTGTGAGTGTATGTAATCAACCCCTCGTAGAAGTTGATGAAATATCCTCATATTATCACTACCAATTTTTTTCAGATCTGAAATATATTTTATTTTATTTTCAGTCATGTGCATTCTTACATTACTGTTCCAATATCAGTATATAATAGAATCCTTCTCTACTGATCTGCAACAAGTGGCAGGCAATAAGGCTCCGTAGCTCACATTCTTTTGATATCAACAGCATTCACATCAAATCCTACTTTCTCAACTACCAAAACTATTCCAAGGGAAAAAAAACAATAAAAGATAAAAAAAAATGTTTCCAAACAGAAATATTCCACTGCATGTAAATTTGCATAATCATCTGCAAATCAGCAACACAGCTAAACGATGGCGATGGAGACAGTCTATAGTTATGACTACAAAAACATCCCTGTTTAAATGTAGGATAACAATTGAGACCATTTCCAAATAAATAAGGCAAATATTCAATTGGTTAAATGACTTAACACATAAAATTCAAATCTAGATACATTTTGAAGGATCATTATACGCCTTACTTCATTTCAGAGAATCTTGACCAGTAAATGAGGACAACACATTAAAGTAATAATATTTTCATAATATTATCCATTTCCAGGAGTTATTCACATTTTGCCACCATTCATCCACAAACAATGTCCTGACCTGAGTCTTTGATTGCTTCATTCCTCTGCACCAGCCAGTCAGCTAGGGTGAGACTACACAACTCCATCTGTATGTACAACGTGACACTGGTCTGCAAGCAGAAAGGGAAGTATGCTAACTCTTCATGAGAACACCTGGGAAACAGATACTGTTCCAGGTCTTAGAATGTGGGAGTGGTCTGCAAGGTATGCCAGTTAGTTAGAGTTACTTCCCTTTGAAAACATTGTTTCCAAGTTAGGTGCTTTAGAATGTCTCCAAGGACACATGTATTATTTATGAGTTATGATGTAACACATCATATTCTTTGGTTATCTGAATTCTCATTTACTCAATGATTACGTCCCTTGGGCCTGACACTGATTTTAACACTATTTCAGTAGCGCAGAGTGTCATGTTGAAAGCCTAGGATCGACGAGCAGAAGAGAAGACATGTCAACCCATGCTCACTCTTAATTTTCATAGTCACATGGTTTTGGACCCTGATTTGGTGTCAATGATGAAGCTCCTTCTCTATCTAGGCAGTGGGGTAGCCTTGTGGTTAAAGTGTTCGCTCACCATGCCGAACACCCGGGTTCGATTCCCCACATGGTTACAATTTGTGAAGCTCATTTCTGGTGTCCCACGCTGTGATATTACTGGAATATTGCTAAAAGCGGGGTAAAACCAAACCGCCTCACTCACACACTCCTTTTCCATCTTGTAAGCTTGACATAGTGCTTCTAACAGCCAAAACACATACTCACATCAAAAGGTGAAATTTGCCCATAAAAATCATCTCGATCCATTGTGTTCCCAAAAGACTTCTCAGTACTAGGATTAGGTTCACAGCTGATGCTCCTGCGATACACCCTCCTTGTGCTTGTTATTGCTTTATTCTCTGTATAATGACTCTCGGTGAACACAACGTCACTACCAGTGTTGGTGTTGTGGTTTGGCTCTGCAACTCCACGTGTCAATACTTTGGTGGCAGTGAAGAAACTGTTCGCACTTTTCTGTCGTTGGAACACACTCAACGACTTGGAATGTGATGCCTGAGGTATACAAAGATATTTGGATGTTAATTCTGTGTTGGGCCCTATTTCAGAATTTGTATAACTTGGATCCAGTTCGAGGATCTTTGGGCCTTGTCTGTCATCCAAGTCATCTCCTGTGTTGGTGCTTCCAAATACTATGCTGACACTTGGACTGTTGCCTTGGTGACCAAAGCTTTCACTGGAACAAGCAGTCATGGATATTTTCTAGTATAGTTATCCTTCTTTGGTGATGTATGCTGTTATATATGCAATAGAGCAAAAGTATACTTTCCATCCACTACAAGGTTTACTTATCAAGTGCATCAAATCCCTCTATTTTGAGCATTAGAGCCCACTATTGCAAAGGTCAGAATAAACAATTACATATTGATACATGTGTTATTAGTTTGTACTTTCCTTCTGAAAAAAATATGTAAAAAAACCAAATCCATATAACTACCCTAAATTTTAAAGAGGTGTAATCGAACAACATTTTTTTATTTGGCCTAAACACATACCGTATATTACCGTCTATAAGCCTAATTTTGAGGACCAAAAAAAAAGCAGTCTGTAGAAGGGGGTCGGCTTATCTATGGGTTACACTTTCGTGAAACTTTTTTCCAGGGGTCAGAAAACAACATCGTATCACTTCACTGTGAACAAACAACAGAAGACGACTTTGTCAGTAAAGACGTCAAGTTTGCAATTAAACATCACTAGACAAGATTATTTACCTTTTAAGTTCTAAGTTGTTTTTGCTGGGCATTGTATTATTTGCAGGGATTAAGATGCTGTGTGTATTTGAGCCGGAAATAGCAATCAGCTGTGCACACGTTTCCCGGAGATCAAGTTCAAACATGCACAATAATATGACGGGATGAATTCTGACGCAGTCGTAAGTAAAACATAATACAGAATACTATTATTTAACCCAAAGAAATATATCCTAGCATTGTGTAATTTCAATTACAGTTTTTGCTCTATAAATGTAAAATATATATAATCACTACTAAGGTTATACGGACCCTCATGAACGGTAAGCGGAAGTTGTACGCACATGGAATGGGATAAAATAAGCAAGCCATTTAAATTCACACATTTTTACCGATGTTACTGTAAACTAGCAGTCCAAGGAAAACGAGGCAGTAATCAGCTCGTGATTGTTGAATGGGGTAATAGTTTGTTGCTACAATAAGTATGATATTTAGCGAAACAAAATATATTATCCATTTTCTGTTAACTACACTTCGTTTCGATGCGTGAGTAGACGCAATAGATATGATTGTGAATTCTTTGAATAATGTGGACCAAAGTTATAATTATTGGTAACTGCCAGTTGTTTGTGGTCTGTGTTTGCCGCGATTAGGACCCCATCGCGGGGGATCGGCTTATGTACGAAACATACCATTTTGACACTGATTTTAAGGGTCAAGTTTGGGGGTCGGCTTATCTATGGTGTCGGCTTATAGACGGTAATATACGGTAACTGGCCCAGAAATGCTGCTTTTACACACTGACCTGTCTGTGGATGATGAACTGTCATCTGATGTGTGGCTGGTGTCACTGGAGGTTTGAGGACCTGAAACTGAGGGAGGGAGGACATGAGAAAGGGAGGGAGAATTTGAGTGAGTGAGTATGGTTTTACACCGCTATTAGCAATATTCCAGCAACATCACGGCAGGGGACACCAGAAATGGGCTTCACACATTGTGCCCATATGGGGGAATCGAACCCGGGTCTTCGTGAGGATGTGAATAAGGAAATCAGAATTTTGAGTGACAAGATGAGGATCTGGGTGAGGACATAAGGAAGTGAGTGAGGTCATGAGGTCATGAGGACATGAGGATATGAGGTCAACAGTGAGGACATGAGTACGTGATTGGGGACATGATGTGAGTGAGGTCATGAGGACATGAGGATTGAGGTCAACATGAGGACATGAGTGAGTGATTGGGGTCATGATGAGAGTCATGAGGACATGAGGATATGAGGTCAACAGTGAGGACATGAGTACGTGATTGGGGACATGATGTGAGTGAGGTCATGAGGTCATGAGGACATGAGGATATGAGGTCAACAGTGAGGACATGAGTACGTGATTGGGGACATGATGTGAGTGAGGTCATGAGGTCATGAGCACATGAGGACAACAGCGAGGACATGAGTATGTGATTAGGGACATTAATATGTGATTAGGGACATGAGGATGTGAGTGAGGACATGAGGATGTGAGTGAGGTCATGAGGTCATGAGGACATCAGTGAGGACATGAGTATGTGATTGGGGACATGATGTGAGTAAGGTCATGAGGTCATGAGCACATGAGGACAACAGTGAGGACATGAGTATGTGATTGGGGACATGATGTGAGAGGACAACAGTGAGGACATGAGTATGTGATAGGGGACATGATGTGAGTGAGGTCATGAGGTCATGGAGACAACAGTGAGGACATGAGTATGTGATTGGGGACATGATGTGAGTAAGGTCATGAGGTCATGAGCACATAGGAGGACAACAGTGAGGACATGAGTATGTGATTGGGGACATGATGTGAGGGAGGTCATGAGGTCATGAGAACATGAGGTCAACAGTGAGGACATGAGTATGTGATTGGGGACATGATGATGTGAGTGAGGACACTATTCTAGTTATAGCACAGAGGTATGCAAAAAATGAACTCTAGGCCAGTGACTGAAATTTGCAATGTTCCATGTCAGGGTACAGTGCCTCTTAAGTCACAGTCACAAAGTTTGGCCACCAAACCTTACAACTGCACAGGTTACTGCAGACCTGGGTCCTGATCCACAAAGCGTTTGTAACGTTAAGGCCTGTCGTAACTCTGTAGTTTTTATAGGCTTATGAATGTCATAGCTACAAACCTTTTTACAAACGCTTGGATCGGTACCGGTACCAACCAAGGTCAAAATACACATGTGATCTAAAACGATGACTGAACCCAGATCATTACTTCATACTCACTGCCATGCTCTAGCCATGCTGCATTGTAGCCAACAATATTGCTGTGTGTGAGACCTGCCAATGCCTTTACTTCCCGTAATAGCTGAAATGTCAACAGAACAATAGCAGAAGTGGAACACTTTTTATGGATAGACAACTTCTTTGTTGCAGTAGTAGTTGCGACGTTCCGGTGTAGATCCTAACACCGTTATTAAGCAAATGATTTGCACAACACAACATTTGCACAAGGAGAAATATATACATGGCGGGTATTTGGTTTACACAATAGAAGAGGTTGATGTACGGTGTGTTGACATGGGACTTGTTGTGATAAGAAATGATTGAAGCCAGTAGACAAAATGGTGGGTTATTCTTGATTAGGCTTGATTAGTTCATTGTAAACCGTGGGGATGTAATAACCTTGATCTCTGTTGATTGCCGGGTTGAGAAAGAAGTTGTCTATCCATAAAAAGTGTTCCACTTCATCATACCAGCTTCTAAATGCCACTTAAGGAAGAAGAACAATAGCATCATAAATGTCTAATCATTAGTGAGTGAGTTGTGTTTAAAGCTGCTTTGAACAGTATTCCAGTCATGACGGCGTATCAGCTTAATGTCGGAGGAATTCCCAAAGTGACGCAGGTGACAGATATTTACCACTTTAGTGTGGTGCTGGGAAATAGAGAAAAATAATCAGGACAAACCAGGATTTGAACCAATTGTCATAGGCTTCTGGCATGTCCAAGGGACACAACTCTGCATGCAAACTGTGGTGCCTTAGACGACTTGGACAGCCATGTCCCCATCCAAAACATGACAGTGCATAATAAAATGGGTGAATATTTACTTTTAAGAGTAGTCCTGCATTTCTATGTTTAAACTTCACTTTTTTCACAGCATACTCTCGTCCATCTAGTCGATTTTTGGCCTGAAACATATAAAAGAATGGATAATCTCAGCATCACATTGTTTGTTATTGTGGCAGTTATTCTTTCAAATTCCGTTTTTCATGAGTGAATGAATATGGTTTTACGCTGCTTTTAGCAATATTCCAGCAATATCATGGCGGGGGACACCAGAAATTGTCTTCATACATTGTACCCATGTATGGAATCGAACCCGGATCTTCAGTGTGATAAGTGGACGCTTTAACCATTAGGCTACCTCATCTCCCCTTATTTCATGCTATGACTCTTCACAATGAGAACCTCAATTTACCCTATCTGAGGGGTGGTTGGGTGGATCAATGGTTAAAGCGTCCGCCCGTCACTCTGAAGACATGGGTTCAATTATGGTGCGATTTCGCTATCAACAACCTGCACTGATGCACGTTAAACATGGCTGGTGCAGGATACTTTTAGTAACAGGTTGCACCTGGTGCAGGTAACAAGAAATTCTCCAACATCTTATAGGTGTCATTGTGTCTCGATGGGAAGTAAGTGACTCGAACATTTGTGTAAATCAGTTCTGTAGAAGTAATCATATAATTGAGATTTATAAATAAAGGTAATGCAAAATTGAAACAGAATCATTCATCATTTATCATCATGGGGTCAGGTTTTGAGGAATGTATCTGAGACTGAGTACTTGACATGAAAATAGCTAAACAAGTATGTGTGCTACTTTTTATAACCAGTGACATTATTTTATGGTGCAACTCAAATTTTAATGGTGCAGCCAAAGCCATAAGCTAGGTTGCACTCGGTGTAGGTACTGAAAAAACACCCCGAAAATCACACGCTGAATGATCCATGCCTTTTAGTGTGGAAAAATATAAAAATATTACCTTGAATACTGAACCGAATCCTCCTTTCCCAAGACGACAGATTTCAACAAATTCATGTCTGTACCTGGAGTCCTGCATGGCTAGACTCTGAATGCTGTGGGTTAGCAGTGGTATATCAGGCATCCTGCAAAAGTCAGTAGACTCTTAAAATGGAAAATTGTGCCAATATTCCTCCATTTCCTAGTTTAAGGGTTTTGGCTGTTAATACAATCCTGTGTCAACTCTATTCCCGTTTGGTTTTTAATATGGTAACAATTGATCCTTTTTTGAGTCATGTTCTGAGTGCATGAGACATAAGATCAGAAAAATTTACCTTAACATTAAATTTAGAGGGTTTGTATAATTATGATAACTGAGACAACATCCTCCAGCAGTCCTAGATCGTAAGGTCACCATCTTGGCTACTGGTTCAGATTAAGAGCAAAAGGAAGTCAATAATGCTTCATACTTGTCATAAAAGCTGATTAAAGTGGGGATTGGTTGGTCCGTCCCTGTAGGTCGATGGTTGGGTATCATGACATGGGCTGTTCATCACGTCACTAACTTCTTCTAAGCACTATTTCAATCAAATATGAAGACTACATACTGCAGACATTATTTGTTTTATAGTTTTACTGAACTACATGCTTACCTTGGTGTGTTGGCCCAGTGGACCTGCATGAGTATTGGGGATAGACTTGTGGCTTGCTGAAAATAAGGAAAATAGACAGAGTTGAATTCATAAAGTGAAAAATCACCAAGTTTTAACTGACATGGTAGACTAATGTTTAGTTTTTTAAGATAAGATTACTGATGAAGGAGCCTGATGTCCCTGTCAGATAATATTTTGGAAGATTACTTCAAAGGACTAGTGCAAACCTTACTTCTCTTGTCCTCACAATTTCAAGCTAGCCATGCATGAACAAGACAAAAATGTTCTCTATGTTTTCATTTTCAGTCCTTTCTAAGGGGCCGTTCATAATTTATGGCTAGGGGGAGTGATGATGAATTTTATGGAGAAGCATGTACAATGTGAATGCCCCCCCCCCATAAAATTAATGCACAAAGTAAGTAACCCCCCTGCATGTCATGTACAAAATTAATGACTCCTCCCCCACCCTTCCAATAATTTTTAAGCATGATTTTTTAAATATACATATGTACAAAATTGCTGAACCACCCCACTCCCAGTATATGTGTACAAAATAGATGATCCCCTACCTCCCCAGAACAAAATGGGTGACCCCCACCTCTTAAAATTATAACACTGAATGGTACTAGCTTTTGTTTGTTTGTTGTTTAACTCCGCACTCAGAAATATTATAGCTACATGGCGGTGGTCTGTGAGTAATTGAGTCTGGACCAGACAATCCAGTGATCAACAGCATGAATATCGATCTATGTGATGACATGTGTCAACCAGGTCAGCAAGTCTAACTAACCGATCCTGTTAGTTACCCCTATGAGACCAATTCTAACCTGGATCTCCACCGGTTAATGGTACTAGCTAATGAGGATGACATCACTTGACCTGCACTTGTTTGTAGAAAATGTTCCTAACCTCAGGCTAACAGAGCAGCATGAATTTTCAAGACTTGTCTTACCTTGAACATGTCTCGCTTTGCCTTGTGTATCATGTTATTGAGGGTGAGTCGGTATCGGGCTCTAGAACTACTCATTTCATCCATGAAGGTCAGAGGGGAGATAACCCTCAACTTTGCCAACTGTTGACATATCACTATAACAAACAATAATTTATCATTTAAGTAAAGCATTTATCCATGACATCAGCTTATGACTTAAAATGATATATGTCATACCCAATGGCATATGTATGCACATTAGAAACTGGGTAACCTGAAAGTAGGACTTTTTCTCCTCCCACAAGACATTTCAAGTGAAAGCCTGCTTTGATTTGAAAGCTAAAAATCAGAGATATAAAATCATATGACACAGAACCGGTCTGGTTGCCATTATGAAAGTTTCAGTTATTCTGCAAAGCTCAGATCAAGAATGGATTTACATAATCTGAAGAATTTTTTCTCAGCAAATGAAACTGTACAATAGAAAACATGTATCACTACGCATGGTATATACATAACATTTTGACAAGTTTCTGATGTTAATTTTGATGGATGCATTTCTTAAAATGGAAACAGTAATGTGAAAATAAAAATAGAATTCATCACGAGTGCTGTTTAATACAGGGATAGAAATACTTTTTTTTCTAAGTGTGCCTTAGGGCACCAGACAAATATTTTAGGTGTGCCTTTCTGAAATCGGGTATGCCCACATGTTTTTAGAATAAATGACAATGATGTTGATCATTTGAAATTTATTGTTAAACAAAGAAATGGGTTTATGAGCATTCAAATATGTATGGTATTATTCAATTTGGAAAAAAATAATTGTTTTGGGGATTAAATGACTAAATGTGAGTTATGTCTCTTAAAAAATTAGGCGTGTCAAAAGGGCACCGAGAACATTTTTTAGACGTGCCATTTCTGTATTTACCGTGCCATGGCACACTAATATATGGGGTATTTCGAACCCTGTAATATGTCAAAATATGCATGGTGTAACCAGTGCATGGGTTACCGGAACCAAGCCAAGACAACAAGAATGTCTCTCTACAATGCTTATAAAGACTTAAACCTTACTGTTAAAAAGTTGATTCGCCATGTGTTGATCCTTAACAGCCATGACGCACATTTGTTCTAGGAGAGAAGTGATCAACAGGTGGGTCTGAACCTGCCCTGGTGAGACAATCTCTCGTGGCTCCCCATGTACATTTGGTACATGTGGTATGCGCTGATGATTGCCACTGATGCCTCCCAAATCAGACTCTGAAAACATTTAAATGAGAATGACTGACACGGATGTAATAACCTTTAACATCAAGGTTCAATGCTAAACGTTAAATGCATATATACAAACACTGTTTTGTTGATGTTGGAAGGACATATGTAAATACTTTTAGATAGCCGAGATCTGACACAACCAACAAAATGCTGACTAAAAACAAATGCACAGGGACCAAGGTAGACTAAGGCTTAGTCTCTGAATATATATAATTTTGATAGTAACAAACAAGCCCATTTAAATGGGACCAGGGAGATTCAGACCTGAACCTGGGGAAATCTAGACTTAGTTTAGGGCTTTAGCACTACAGGGAAGGCTAGACTGTAGGGAAAATAATGTGGTTCAGGGACTGTGAGACAGACTAGGACCAAGGTTTTACTTCAATACAACCGTATGTTCAGGACTTGCAGGTTTGACACAATGGTGTTAGGCTGTGAAATGTTTTTAATAACAATTTGAGCTAACAGTAAGATGAACAACGGTGAAAGATCTATGGATATACAACTTCTTTATTATTATGTATGCGACATTTCAGTGTCGATGCCAAAACCATTATCAAGCAATACATTAATTATAAAAGAAGAATATACATAGAATTTCCTCCATTGTCAATCACATCAACTTCTAAATGCCACTCAAAGACGTCAACAGTAATATGTGAACAAATACACCTAACACTTCCACCAGAGCAATTTGCTTGGGTACTTGGATCCTATATAGGACAATCCTGATCAGTGGTATTCAAGTGACAGAATGTTTAATGACAATTCCAATAAAAGTCCATGGTTACCCTACATCGTACTAATATTCATATTTAATTTCTGACTATGCAAACACAACTTCTGACCTTGAGTTGGGAATACGCTTCAGTGTATGCAAGATCAGACGGTCTTATACATGTACCTAATTGTTTTTACCTGGGCTCTGGTCAAACAACTCACAATGGGAGATTTTGAACACAGTTCATGAGATCTATAGTGGGTACCAGACTAGGGTTGGGTAATAGGGTTTGGAGTAAACGGGTAGTAAATTTGGACCTGCCTTATCCCTAACCAACATGCACTACACTAATACACTAAAATTCTTTCTACAATCCAATATTAAAACTCCACTTCTAGTTCCAATCTGATGAAATAGTTTACATTCCGAGAAAATAATCACCATCAAGGTTCCTGAAGGGCTGCAGAGCCCTGTTTCTTGAGAATGCAGTCTTAGTTCCCAAACTTCTCGTTAAGCTCTTGTTGCCAGGCATTCTTCGTCTGCTACAAATATATTCTGCATCTTAATCATGCAAATATCATCGATATCAGATTCACATAAATGGATATCAAGAAAGGGTAATAATTGTTTCTCATCGCATATGTATCGACTTCATGACTGCTGAAACAACATAAAACAATATTCACTCACACATGAGCATTGACAAATTTGAACACTTGAATTGTATTTTTTTTAAAAAGTAAATGCAGGTTGTAGACAGTAATGTCCATCTTGTGGTGTAATATTATGCATAATTACGTTCCTTGTTATGGAAATTATCATTTTTCACAGAAAAGGTGAATTAGGCTTTGGCTCACACAACACGAACGCTTACCGGTAACTTGTTAGACGTCTGTCAGAAATCAATTTCCAGAAATTTCCTGCACCCGTCTGAATTTATTGCTGTCTTTAATGCCGTTGCACGCTTTTCATTTAAGCATGACGTAAACTTTTATCATCATCGCCTTGTTTAGAACACTCGGGGATTCCCCAAGTATGCAGCAGACGAAAACTGTCATCGCATGTGCACCTGGAAACTTCGAGAATGATGCAATATAAACCTAACAATAATATACTGATGAGAGATTATTTTTTTAAACACAACAACAACCTCGCATCGCGGCTTTAATTCGATGCACGTGACATGGTTAGTGGGCCATGAATATATCTAAAGAATTTCACACCGTGATACATATTCCAGAAGTTTGAAGGACGCCGCCATGACAATGCATTACATCCGGGAAGGGACATAACTCTAAATTCCGTACGTTTGACATTACGCATGAAATGTTACAGAAGCTCAAAAGGTTCGATCCTTATTTGTGGGATATACAAGTATATTGTCTAAATGCGCTTCTTTTGTGCCAGGTCTAAGTTATATGTCTGTAGTTGTAAGAAATATTTCCATAAATCACCTCAGACTTCCATGCAGTATCCAGTTAAAAATATTTTACTTTACATGAAACTTCAGCACATAACTAAGACAGCGACTAAAGGGTGTTTGAAATCTAGGCATCTGTTGAAGTCACATCGCTAATAGTGTCGAAGCTTTGATAAGCCGCTTGCTAGGTATTTTCAATTTGGATTTATGCCATTCTGACTCAAAATCGGAGCTAATCCTGTGCACGAATACAAACAATGACTTATTGCTGTTTATCTCGCATCGAAGAACTTCCCATAGATATCGTAAAGAAATAAGAATCATTTGCCACAGCAAGTGAATAAATAAAACGTAAATATCGTAATAACAGGCGACAAAAGTTAGATGTGGAAACATGCACGGTTACCTTGATCCAGGTGAGGTGAGGTGAAATTGGGTTTTACGTCGTGCTTATGACGACGTGCATGCGTGTGTATGTGTATGTGCGGCTGCTTGTACTAGCCCAGACTGAAGCTGGTTTTATAGTGCTAGCCCACTGACATACCATGCCGCAGTGAAGCATGAATACCCCACTCAGACATATTATACTGACTCCGAGCCGACCAGTCCTTGTTGTACCCATCAATGCCGAGCGCCAGGCAGGGACCAACAAGTACCATATTTTAACGTGTTTTGGTATGACGCGGTCGGGGATCGAACCCGCGACCTTCAGCTCTCCGGGCGGACGCTCTAACCACTACACCACGGAGGCGGCCTCCTTTATCCAGGAATATATCGTTCAGTATCCACGTAAAGGAACTATATCTAATCCCATAAACCTATGGCTGTTCAAAGACACTTGTTCCATTGCGATTATCTTTGTAACAATGTAATATTTGAAAATATAATTTGGATATTATAAGTCGTGTCTTTTCTCAACGTAAATTTGTTTCGTTTCATATGAATGGTCAGCCAAGATAATATGCGTAGCAACTATATCCCTGATGTCTTCTGTTCTTTAAAGACCAGTTACAATCCGGGTTAGAATTGATCTTCAGCAACCTATTGTCGTAAGAGGCTACTAACGGGATCGGGTGCTCAGGCTCTCTGACTTGGTTGAGACATGTCATCGTATCACAATTACGTAGATCCATGCTCATGCTGTTGATCACTCGATTGTCTGGTCCAGATTCGATTGTTTACAAACTGCCACCATAAAACTGGGCTATTGCTGAGCGCGGCGTAAAACTAAACTCACTCACTCCATCTTGCAGCTAACACATAGTCCTTTCCCTGTGTTTGATGCTGAGTTGTCTTACCATCTGCAAATATCAAATCATGGTGGATGCAATTTGCTCAGGCCCTTTTATTGTGAAAATCGGCATGTACTGAACGACACCCATGCCAAACTGCACATTGCACATGGAGTGGCACAGTAATGGTTTCGACGATGATTGTCAGTTTAGTGTACCTTGTTTTCAGGTTCTAATCAAGGAGTCGGGACATAATACTTAACTAGAACTGTAGTGACATGTCACAGGCCCTCGTGTCTTTGCGAAGATTAAAGTGAGTGAGTGAGTTAATATTTAGCGTCACATCGGCAATATTTCTGCCATATCGTGACGAGAACATTTTACATTGAAAACGGGGGATGAAGAGCTCTTAGCTTTACCCAGCACCCACCACGAGGAGGTGGCTCTTCACGGGTGTCCGCGAAGATTACAGATTAAAATAAAAACAATTTGAGATGACCCCTAACTCCAAATTCTTCAGCGTACAATACACCATGATGTATTGTACTATGAAGTATTTCGAGTCGGGGGGTCATCTCAATTTTTTTTTTAATCTTTAATCTTTGCAAAGGCACGAGGGCCTGTGTGACATGTCCCGTAAAGATAGCATGTCCACAGTCCCCAAAACAACCCCAAAAGGAGATTTCCTAATTCGATTAAGACCTTTTAAAGCTATACTGAACAACAAAAGAAACGCAAGTCTGACTTTTTGTCACTTTACCATGAACGTTCCATCAACATGAACGCTTACTTTTATGAGATTTCATGTTTTCGAAACTTGCGTTTCATTCTTCAGTATATTATGTACAATTTTCATTTGACCTTGAACTTCGTTTGAGTAGTATGTATGTCACAGTCACAGTCTACAATCAGGCAATGTGTACAATGACTGAAATAACCACTCATCGTGTACATTGCCTGATTCACTCAGTCATTGTGTACATTGTCTAAAATTTCCAGGCATTGTGTACATTGCCTGAATAATTAACCCAATTATTGTACAGATTGACTGATTGTTGAACAGGGATTATTGAGAAGACAAGATTATAATTAGCATGGCTTTCGTTCTGTGATAACTGAGGCTTCTTTTAATGAAGAAATGTTTATAGTTTAGATTAATCCATTTTTCTTAAAGCAATGGCTTCCCTAGAAATGATTCTTCCTTAGAACAGAGTCTTCCTTAGAAATGCTATAAAATGCAAGTATTTTCTTACTAGACTTGACATCTCCTGAGTAGACGACAGTCGATTCAAAGTCAATCTTGTTGACTAAAGAAGAGTATTTTAATTTGATTGAAGAAGTCAAGGTTTCACCAGGAGCTGAGAATAAGACATTCCGGCAGTATTACGTTCTTGGGAGGTATGAGATCGTGCAATGTGGTGACGTTGAGAGCTTAATCAGAAAGAGAAGGCCAGAATCAGAATCTGCAGTTAACTATTTCACTCATATTGATGAGATGTTTGATATCATGAAACGTGCGCACATTTCTTATCGCGCTGAAGGCCAGGGTACGAGAGCCAAGATGGTTACAATGTGTGAAGCCAATTTCTGGCGTATTTCTAAAATCAGCACGCTCAAAATATCCAGTTCACTCCTCTTACCAATTACACACCATGTAAGAAAACACAATGAAAAGTTATATACTTACCAAAAGCATGCTTGATAGGGTTATGGTGGTATTGATAGTTGCGTGCGCTGTCAACGGGGGAAATAGTTTCTCTGTTACTGCATATGTTTGAAGATAGCAGAGCATGTCACTGTAGATTATACTGACAAGACCGAGAAACGGAATAAACATCAAGATAATATAATCTGAGCTAGACTTTTGTATGACATAGTTTGCCGATATGGACAGCCCACGTTCTGACCTCAGTCATCTTCTGGTGCCTTATCTTTTGCGTTGGCGTCAGTTTGTATATAAAGACAACTTACTTTTTGTTTCAGGCTGAACACGACACACGTCCAAACATGTTGCCCAAATTAGGTACGTACGACACTGTGAGAATGTATTTGAGGGGAGAGGGATTGCCTTCAGTAACCCATGCTTGTCGTAAGAGGCGACTAACGGGATTGGGTGGTCAGGCTCGCTGACTTGGTTGACACATGTCATCGGTTCCCAGTTGTGCAGATCGATGCTCATACTGTTGATCAATGGATTGTCTGATCCAGACTTGATTATTTACAGACCGCCGCCATATAGCTGGAATATTGCTGAATGCGGCGTAAAACTAAACTCACTCACTCACTCATGCAGACCCTGACACCTGTCTATTCAAAACTGTTCATGCAATTCTATAACATTTGGTAAGTCTGGATTACTGCTGTTCGGGAAATGAAGGCAGTTTCTTGACTCCTTTCTAATGCTCCCAAAGATAAGAATTCTGGTTTTACTTATATTGACAGTTAATTTCCATGTTTCACAATATATTTTAAAGGAATCTAATGCTTTCTGTAATCCCTTGGGTAATTTATCGAATAGGACGGCATCATCTGCATACAGTAAAATTAATGGTTGTATGAAGAGTTGAATATCTTTATCTTCAACATAGTCTAGTCTAACACCATTACAGTCAGAAGCAAGGAGGTGTGATTCAATATCATCAACAAAGATTGAAAATAGTAAAGGAGATAGGTTTCCCCCCTGTCTCACGCCATTATTGTACGAGAAGTAGGCCGATACATTGTTACTACATTGCACGAAAGATTTGATACCATTGTACATTGATTTTGCAAGTTTCAGAAACCTCCCTTCAATACCAATAGTTTTCATTTTCTTCAAAACCTACTCTCCAAACTGTCAAACGCCTTGGTGAAATCTATGAAAGCACAATATAATTTTTGTTTTTTACTTTCCAAGATCTGCATAAGGCTATAGATAACAAACAAGTTGTCAGCAGTCGAGAATGATTTTCTAAATCCAGCTTGTGCTGGTGTCAATATAGTGTTTTCATCTAGAAGGTTTGATAAGCGGTTGTTCAATATTTTAGTAAATAGTTTCCCAAAACAATTTAGAATAGTGATAGGTCTATACGAATTTGGATCCGAAATATCTCCTTTCCTTTTTGTAAATTGGTTTAATTATTCCAGTAAGCCATGAATCGGGAAGAGTGCTTTTTTCAAATACAAAATTAAAAGTTCAACTAACAAGGGGGTTAATAAATCGCAACTATCAATTAAGTAGTCGTTTTCGATAAAGTCTATTCCAGATGCCTTGCATTGTTTCAATTGATTTATGGCCACCATTATTTCTTCCTTTGTAATATTGCCATTTAATATTTCACAATTTATTTGACTATTACAATCGCTTGCGTCAAGTTCTGTTTCCTCCGATTCCGATTCATTAAATGATTTGAAAAAAGTTGTAAAATACATCAATAGCTATGTTATCATTGCTATCAGTCTTATCACCATTTAATGTTTTTTCAGAATTGTTTAGGAGAGTGCTTATGGGACTCCCCTAAACATTTTACCGATCTCATCTTTATACCGCTTTATATGTCTATCCATACACTTTGTATAATGTTTAGACTCAAACGTAAATACCCGCTTATTATAGATGGAGTAGTGTTTTCGTAGACGTCGTTTTGCTTTATGAAATTTCTTACGAGCTTTATAACATTCTGCTCCGAACCAGGGTTTACATGTTTGGTCCTTCTTCGTAAATCCTCTTTGAGTTCGGGCTCCGAAAGTTTTCCGTGCAGCGTCTGTAAGCACGTGCGCGACCTCGTTAGTGATGTCATTGACTGTTATACCGGGTATGGACTGAAACACTTGACAATTGATCCTGCATAAATGACTATGTTAACATTGAATTTTAACAATTGAGATATTATTGTTAATCCTTATTAAAATCCTGATGATGACAAATGATGATTTCAACCTTCATTAAAATCATTCTCTCAATCTTTTAGTTGTGTGTTGCTATGTCTCTTAAGTGGATTAGTCCATTGTATGGAATAGGTAACAGGCAGGGGATTAACAGTGCAACATACCGTAAACTATGTTGTTATAAGCTGTAGGGGTAGTGGTATGTAGGGGTAATGGGGGGTTACCGGATGAACATATAACATAGTCTACCACACTAGCATCTTTGCAGGTTCTTTTACCAATACCTCTGTCATGTCCAATTCTACCATTACATATAAATAGACTCAAGTTTCTACATATTTCTAAATTTGCTTCCTGAATTATTCATTCTTTTTGTATCCTCATTTGCCCTTTCCTTAGGCAGATTAAGGTTTTCTAAAATATTAGTAGGTTCATAGTCATCATTAATATCACTTGCATTCATGTCTAGATCTTTTAACAGTTGTTTATTAAATATAATGTAGTCACTTAGTAATTTTGTTCTTGCATTGAAGTCTCCCATTAAGATCATATGCTCACTGACAAATGTATAATATAGTAATGATTGTTCAGTGTTAGTAAATGTCTCACTGGTAAAATATTTAGAAATTTCAGGCGGTATATACACAATCTCGAGGAAAATGTCTTCATTAACAGAAAATAGTGTTTTGTCTATTTTAATCCATAATATGTACTCACATAATTCTTCAGTCATGATTGTGATATGCTTTTCTAGATTGTATTTAAAGGCTATACCAATGCCTCCAGATTTTCTTAAACTTTTTCTATTTTGCAAGAATAATTTATATCCAGGTATTTCAATATTATCTAAGAAGTCAGTTTTAGTTTCTTGGAATCCAATGATGTCCTAATTACTTATTATATCAACTAGTTCCTTATATTGTAAACGCCTTCTAAGGCCACATACATTTAAAGAGAGTTGCTTAATGGAACTCCCTGCATCATTCATGTTAGGGCAGACATTACCATCATCATCATCATCATCATCATCATCATCATCATCATCATCATCAACTTCATCATCATTATCACCATTATATTCATCATCGTTATCATCATTATCACAACACTGTTATGTATATATTCAACGATATCATCATTGATATCTACTGTATTTCCTATAGCATTCACATGCCCATCAACATCAGCCTCAACAGCTTTACACTAACTGTTTCATGTCCTGCTATACTAATTTCATCCACATTCTTACCAGCGATGTCATCACCAATCACTTTATCTTTGTCATTTCTAAAATGACCATCTTCATCTCTAGCCCTATCACCATTTACACCAATAACATTAACAATATAAGCAATTCGGTCATCTGGTTTTATAGATGTAATATAATATTGAGATCTTTGTGTTGAGGAGGATATAGTTGTCCAAGATATTTTTATGGATTAAACTTCTTTTTAATTTTTTAATTAAAATTGAAATTAAAATTAAAAAGAAGTTTAATCCATAAAAATATCTTGGACATCAATGTACAATTTCTAAATGCCTCTGAAAGACATCACAGGATATAGTTTTTCCTGAAGTGGAGATTTACAGTTTGATAGAGTGTTTGGTTCACATGTACAAAAATCATCATCATACACAAATCATCATCAGTGTGCGGAATAGTTTCCAAGCTTTGCCTCCCAGTCGGGCTAGCTATGTCTGAAAGATACTTGGGAACAAAACAATTGACTAGCCCAAATTTGAATGTAGAAACTAAGCAAAAGATTTGAAAAAGGTAAAATGCCATCATTTATCAGGCCATAATTTTGCATGATTTAACAGTGTATTATGACTTAACAAGTCGGAGAGAGTGATATATTTCTAAAATTACCGCATTAAGATAAACTAGTCAGTCGGGCTAGTGACTGCGGAGATTTACTAGCCCGATTGGATTTTTACTAGCCATGGGCTAGAGGGCCAGGTTTTTACCAATGAGGTAATTGTCAGAGACCTGAAGTACATCGGGTTTTCCTCCCATATCACGTTGACACGCCGTAACTGAAATACTGTTTAAAGCTGTCTAAAACCCAACACACTCACTCACCCCTTGATACGCTGATATATGACGTCAAGTGCTGTTATTAGTTGCATAGTCTCTCCAGTGCGAAGATGTGTTATTTTCGTAGCATACACTGTAGCCTTGTTAAATTCACTTGTCAATATCCGAGCTCCAGAGACAAATATATGTCATTTGATTCTTTCTAGCGGCGCTTTACGTGGCAGTCCAGCTGTTTGACTCAGGTATGTATTGTTCGTTGCTGAGTGCGGCGTTAAACAACAAACAAATAAACAACACCACTGACGCCCCTGTTTTCCCTGTTTAATGAAAACCTGCTGCGACCTCTTGAGCTACATCTTCAACCACATCATACGTTTTAAGAATTCGTGAGGATCCGGGTTAGAATTGGTCTTCAGCTAACGGGATCAGGTGGTCAGGGCCGCTGACTTGGTTGACACATGTCATCGTATCCAAATTGCGTAGATCGATGCTCATGCTGTTGATCACTGGATTGTCTGGTCCAGACTTGATTATTTACAGATTGCCTCCATATACCTTGAATATTGCTGAGTACGGCGTTAAACAACAAACTTTTAAGGCCGCTTCAAAAAGCCGGCTGAGTTTACAAAGCGTCGTAAAATCATTCTAGGACACTCTACATCATACATTAGTCGCTCCTAAAGTTATCAGGAGCTGGCAAGTGGAGCGAGTGAGTGAGGTAGTTTAGCTTTACGCCACACTCAGCAATACTCCAGCTATATGGCAGATGTTTGTAAATAATCGAGTCTGGACCAGCGAATCGAGTGATCAACAGCATGAGCATCGATCTACGCAAGTGGGATACGATGACATGTGTCAACCAAGATAACGAGCCTGACCACCCGATCTCGTTAGTCGCCTCTTACGACAAGCAGGGGTTACTGAAGACCAATTCTAACCCGATCTTCGCGGCTCGCAAGTGAAACGAATATGGTGTCATGCAATCCTTGTAGATTTCAAAATCGAAACGGTTTAAGAAGAATTTCAGAGAGGAAATTCGGGCACCAGATGCTCCAGATGGTGTTGCTTTCATTTCGGATATCGATTCCAGGGACATGTCGTTATGGAAACCATCAGTCGAGTTGACCTCTCTCGATCTGCAGTGAATATAGTTTTACGCCGCTTTTAGCAACATTTCAGCAACATTTCAGCAATACCAAGGCGGAGGACATTAGAAATGGCCTCAACACATTATGCCCTGTGGAGAATCGAACCTGGGTCTTCAGCGGTACGAGGGAACGCTTGTTTAAACGCTTTTGTTCCCGACTTTCATTACCATTTGTGAGTAGTAGCATTTATGACCCCAGAAGCATAAGGATATGTATGATGGCGTCCGCTTGTCACCTGGGTTCGATTCCCCATATGGGTACAATGTGTGAAGCCCATTTCTGGTGTACCTTGCCGTGAAAATTGCTGTAGGCCTAATATTGCTAAAATCGGCGTAAAACCATACTCACTCACTAACCACATTAGTAGGATCAGTGATAAGTAATTTGGCAATGACCGGGTTACCGACCTAACTGCCTGGTTCTAACCAGTCCATCTGTGTACAGTCTGCCCTCAGCTGCTGCCTATACCGACACGGATCCGGACACCGTACCCGGCATCGCACTCGACCCCAACACCAGTCACGGTGGAGCTGCCGGAGTACCGATGCCGCAACGTCTTGCCCTATGACTTGTGTCGATTCTACTCCTCGGGGTGTAGAGCTAAAGGGGCTCAGATGAAGTGGGCCGTCAAATACTGCCCAGACTTCTGTCAGTTGTGTGGTAGGTAGTTTATTTCCTTTTGGGATTAAATTCAGCTTGGGTTATTTAGGAGATAATCCTATTGTGTTTACATTATGGAAGTGATTATAGTTGGTTGAACGCTGCTAAATGAAACATTTACCAGCGTTCAACCAACTATAATCACTTCCAAAATGTAAACACAATGGGATTATCTCCATTCTACCATGCCCGTGGTCCTGTGCTCAAAGCTCAGGTCACAAATCGGTGAAGTTAAGCACCGTCGAGCTCGGAGAGTCCTTGGATGGGTGACCGTGCTTGGCAGCTTGGCTCCTGAGAGTTTCTAGGACTTCAGTCCTGCCCCACAACGAAGCACATGTGACACATGTGGTCTCACCTTAGGCAAGTGAGTTTGTTCAACATTGTCTCTGTTCACCCGGCAGGAAAATGGGTACCCGGTGGGATAAGTCATGTGACTATAACCTTCTAGCGCCTAACAGGCAGCTTGGGTTATCCGGGGTAATAATATGTGTGCTGTAGCGCCTTGAGCGAGCATTGAATGCACGGATATAGGCGCGGTTAAAAATACCCACTATTATTATTATTATTACATATGCACCATGAATAAAACGCGTTTTAAATATGCACTCATTACCCTTGCGTAGTGTTGTTTACTTTTGTAAGGGTTAATGAGTGCAAACTATTCCTACGCGCAGTGAATCGGCTCTCAGAAGTGGTTATTGAAAATTTTTCATTTCTATTTTTTTAGTAAAAGCCAATCAAAAACGAACATACTTAAATGTCATGGTAGAGTTCTGGTTAACGCCACAGAGTTCCACCAACCGTATTTCCTTTAATAAGCCCCCGGGTGACAGGAAGTCGTGACTAAAGGGACCATTCCTTAATAAATCTATTTTCGGATCAAGAAAGAATACATTTATAAAAAAACGTACCAGGCGCTTATTAGAGGCCCGGCGCTTATTGGAAACCCGGCGCTTATTAGAGGCCCAGCGCTTATTAGAGGAAATACTGTATATCAAAGACCGTGTCTTTAGTTGTAGACCTCTCTACTGCAAATATTTTGATAAAGTTCTTGTTATTTCTTATTACCTGGCCTCCTACCCCGTCCCTGGCAAATAGTTCCTTCTTTGAGTGGCATTTTACAAGTTGGGACGTTCAACATTGAACGAACTTTCTGGATAACAACTTCTTTATTTCGTGAGTGCGACGTTTCGATACAAATTCTTGCTTGATAACCAGAATCTGTATCGATTCGTCGCACTCACGAAATAAAAGAAGTTGTTATCTAGAAAGCCTGTTCAATAAACATTTTTTTTCTAAAAAAACATTGAGCAACAAACCTGCCAGGAAAACAATCCAAACAAACAGAAACACAAAAAAAGTGCGTTTCACTAATTGTGTTTCTTATTTTTTTGAATTTGTAATATCGAGTGGATTTGCTTTGGAATCAATTTTTGAAGAAAATTTAGATGAAGATTGATGAAGCTGTTCTGAGAGTTTTTTTATGAGCGTGCGGTAGCATAGGGGTTAACGCATTCGCTCGTCACGCCGCAGACCCTGGTTCGATTCCCCACATTGGTACAATGTGTGAAGCCCATTTCTGTTGTCCCCCGCCGTGATATTGCTGGAATATTGCTAAAAGCGGCGTAAAACTAAACTCACTCACTTACTCACTCACATTACTGCGGCGGGTAAGAAAACTTTTTATCATTTTACGTGGGAATAAAAATTCAGGAGATGGGTAAACACTTTAAAACCATATCGACCGACATTTCTAATACACGCTTGAAAGGAGATGCAGCTTGGTCCATTTCCTGTATCCTTGTTTACAGATTTCGCGTACAGCTGATAGATTCTTTCCGAAATGCCGCCATTTGATAGCTTACCGGAATCGCATTCACCGTTTATTCAGATTTTTCCACTTAACAAAACAACACACACAAGAGGTTTCAATCAAACATTCCACTGAAAATATATGTATTTTTTCTGTTTCAAGTTACTACAATTTTCCAATTTTCACAGACATTTGCATTTGGGATCAAAGCTTTTAGTACACATAAAACATAAATTGATAAGATTTCTTACGTTCTAAATTTGCTCGAATATTTGTTAGCTATTGTTAAGGTAGGCCTCCATGGAACATAAACAAACATGGCTACATTCCTTTCTCCGATAAAACTTAACGATTAACACTAAACAAACAAAACGTCTCCGTATCATAGAGGCATCCCCTGATTCAGAATAGGACTACACTACTGTGAACGCTTCTTCTTAACACGGGTCGTTTTCATATACGTGTATCAACATCATGTCTCTCATAGTGTACCTAAATCTTATATTTCCTTAAGATTGCATGATATAACAACCCAAACATGGCGTGGAGAGATTGCGAATTGTACGGGGGTAGCGGGGTAGTCCAGTGGTCAAAGCATTCGCTTGTCACGCCGAACGCCTGGGTTCAATTCCCCACATGGGTACAATGTGTGACGGCCATTTCTCATGTCCCCCGCCGTAATATCGCTAGAAAGTTATTATGTGCGCCTTAAAACCAATTATCACTCACTCACTCTATTCTTCTTTAGGCATCAATCAGTAAAAGCTGCCGTTGAAAATGATTTAAACTTATTAAAAGACCCCACCTCCACTCCCCGAAAAAAAATGTACATGTATATAGATAAAAAATGTAGAAAAAACCCCAAAAATAAACAAACGAAGAAAAATAAAATGCAAACAACAAACAAACTCAGTACATTCAATTTGCAAACTGTCGTTTCTATTGTAAACCATTTGTACCTCAGTTTGTTCGGGAACTGTGTACTGCACAAACACTGATCATATCAAGATCATGGTTGCGGAATCCTATACTTGACTCTGAGATGTTTGATAACATTTGGTAACATAAACCTGTTCGTTGATAAACCTTCACTTCTCCTAGAACCATTATATGCCATTAGTTGGAGTTGACAATACAGAAATCACTAGATTCTTGGCATTTCCACTCTGTAATGACGTCAGCTGGTGAACGGTTTGAAGTAAACTTCGTTTGTCTGACAAGATGTACAAGATATCCTGTCCTGATATCTATTTGAATTACGTACGTGCTGAACGGCATTCAGAAGTGATACACAAAAAGAGGCAAGGATTTTATGGAAGTCACCAGTGACCTGATCAAGGAGTAGGGATGTAGTCCGAAACGTCGTGTTTCTCAAAATAAAGAAGTTGACATCCATGAAATTTTTACCTTTATATTAATTTTGATACTAAGTGAAAACGAAATGGTTCTTAGTGTTTCATTTCGGAATATATACATGGAAAAGGTATCTCAACACCTGTGGCTTTTTACTGATTTCGTTGACTATAAGCAAATATGGGGCCTCCTCATCTGACAACTGCTCAAAAATGGCAAGTTATTTTTATGCGGAATCCTCAGATATCATTGAGGGGTATTGCAAAAACAGCCACTTAACCAGAAAAAAAACCAAGACGAAAAAAACAAACAAACTAAAACAACAAAAAACATCAGCTGACTAATGGCGTTAAGGACCGCCAACGTAGTGGTCGACCACGAGCGACGACTCCTAGGGAGGTTAAAGCTCTTTTCGGAATCACAAGACTTCATCCGTTCATGTCAAGTGGCATGTTGAAAACAGAGTAGCTTGAACATAGTCCTCAGTTCAGCAAACGACCGGAAATCGCCTGAATTCGGCCGGTTAAGAGCCTGCATCCCTTGTATAAATAGCACAAAGCAGCACGACAAGCTTGATGTCACACTCGACGTCACTGGCATTTGAGGTCAAAGGGAAGGATCCACTGGTAGGACGAAAGCCGATTTATTTTGTTCATGACTAATGGCCGATGTGTTTGGCGCCGAAGAAACACTGCACATTCACAACCAAATATGGTAGAGCAAGTAACGTTGGCTGGGTTCATTGATGGTGTGGGGACGAATCTCACTTGGCTGTACACTAGACGATCAGACAAAATCTGAATGGACAACGGTACCTCAACGATATCCTAGACAGGGTGGTTGTACCACAATCCGATGACCATCGTCTTTAACCACTATGATACTGTGGTACTTATACTATGAAAACTATAGGGTGTTGTGATACATTTATTCCATGTGTACATTTTGTGTAATATATATTCAATGAGACTATTTGACTGTCTTGGATTCATAATGTAGCTGCATTGAGCTTTGGGGAAATCCCTGTTATATAAAGGGTATTAACGGTGAACTACTCATGAATTTACCCGAAACAGATAATCCGTCCGTATTGCACATAAATTGGTGTTTGACGCACGCGTTTCAGTATGAAGCGCTGTACTGAATACGCAACTGGTTCACCGCTACGGAGGTCTTTACTATATCTGACACGTGTAGGCCACGTGTTCGTGATCAACGTTGATATATGCTTCACAGTGTGTCGTCAATATATGTCGCCAGCTTTTGAAACCGATGCACTTCGCGTTATTAGGGTTAGGCCAGAATGTTTTGTGGTTTACGGAGTTTGGGGCCCAAACATTCTGCTCAACAGGTTAAAAAATAAATAAAAATTCAAATATATCTTTATCTTTTCTTGTCACGATCCGCCTTAATTAGTTGTATTTTGAAGTTCTCAAGATAAATCTTCAGTGTTAATTATTGTATTTCAAATAATTCATTTATAATTGTCGGGACAATATAATACATTTTTCTTAATTTTTTATTATTTCGTTGCTTTTCCTTATATTGTTTTTGCACAGAGCAGATATGTCATAAACCTAGGATTTGATAGGTGATTAAGCTGTGTTTGAACGACTTTCATCAAATTTGTCGGGACTGCTAGACCCGAACAAGCTTAGTTTCCCTTTGAATGACGTGATTCCTATGTTTTGTACACAGTGAGAGACGACTATTGTAAAGACCAGAGTAGTGCTTGTACTGACGGTTCCAGATTTGTCGGGTGCAGTACATCGGAGTGGGGATACAATAACTGCCACTACTCCTGTGGACGCTGTGGTAAGTGAACGAGTCAGATGGATGTACCCGCTTTCTATCTACCCGTGAAGATCCGGGCTAGAATTGATCTTCAGCAACCCATGCTTGTCGTAAGAGGCGTGTATCGGGATTGACTGGTGAGGCTCGCTGGTTTGGTTCATGCCTGTCATCGTATACTAGGCACCATGGGGACTTACAGTACATTTTGCTTCCTGCATGGACCCTAGGTGGATTTACACATATTCTACGACTAAAAATGGTTCAGATTAAATTTACTTTGAATGTTTTGGGACTTACGTATCCTCTCAGGGCGCCAAAAACGTTTGGTTTGTAAAGGCGTGAAACCAAGGGTGATAATCGGGGTATCTAAAATAAAATTTTATAACGTTGACAAGTTGTTTTGGTTCAGAATCCTTTGTTCTCTGGGTTCACTGGAATGTGCAATTTGTGTCCTGTGGGTGATCAGACTTGATAAGAAGGTTTAAGTCTTGTCACCCATTCACTGCTGGGTGAACAGAGGCAAGTTTGAACAAACTCACTTGCCTAGGGTGAGGCCACATGTGTCATATGTGAAGCATTGTGGGGCAGGACTGAAGCCCCAGAAACTCTCAGGAGTCAAGCTGCTAGACTCGGTGACCCATCAAAGGTTGCCTAACTCCAACTGATTTGTGCCATGGGTGCCGTTGTACAAAGCAGCATTAGCGCTAAAACTACCTTAAGTCTGTGTACAACAATTCGCTTTGTACAACGGCAACATTGGCTCTATGCAGAGGACCACACACCTTCACAGAACAAAATTAGGACTTCTCACTTCTTTAATCTGTCTTGGACATCGGTTTTGATGTAATAAATCACGAAATCGTTTCTGTATAACATGAGACTTGTGCTCTTTTTGTGTAGTGCGTACCGTCATAACGTGTAAAGACAGAATATCAACCTGCAGCGGCGTCAGCAAAGAAGTCTGTTCATCAAGCTTCTCATCGTGGGCTTGGAACAACTGTGCAAAGTCATGTGGATTGTGCAGTAAGTTGTCTCCCTTGTTCTTGTAGGAGCCTGATGAATTTATGATATTTTTGTATCTTATACCGTGTATGAAATGCCAAGTTGTCTCCCCTGACTTTTAAATATCGGATTAGTCGTTTCCCCTTTCTTAAAATGTATTACCCCTTGGGATATATTGTAAGCTGTCTCCTCTGTCTGTGGAGAATATGTGGTACAGTTAACTCCCTTTTTGTGTTTATGTTGTTTAACCACCTTTTTGACTGCTAAGTTGTCTCCCCTGGTGTGTGGATGTTGTGGTAAGTTGTCTCCCCTGGTTTATGGAATATTTAAATGGCTACGTGTCCCATAAGCTTATATAGTTGATTGGAAGCGTCTTGAGACAAGTGATCTTGATTTCGGTTTTGCATTGTTCTTATGGTTTTACGTCGCTTCTAGCAATATTCCGTCAATATCTAGGTGACACCAGAAATGGGTTTACACCTTGTATACATATGGGGGAATCGAACCTCTGCCTTCGGCGTTTCGAGCGAACGGTTTAAACACTAGCCTAACCCACCGCCATCATTACATCTGCAAAGAAAGGATAAAAAGTCTACCCCCCCAAAAAAAAAGAAAGTGGATGAAACGCAAATGAAGGATATCATTACAAAAATGACAATTCTTCGTGAAATCGAATCTCAGTAGGTAGAAATAATATCAAAACAGAGCACAGCTAAATATGATTTGATCAAAATGAACGTGGATGAAAAATAGCGAAATGTCATTCAATAAACTCTAGGAGCTATCTCAATTGATCTGTAAATGGAACTAGAGGAATGTAATATCATATAAAAACATATTTTAGATGAAGGAACAATGATTTGTTTTTGAAAACATATGACAGATTATTTGTTAAAAAACTGTTCCAATTTTTGAAAAATGCATTCGATTTCGTCGATTACAGATTCATTATTAATACACTGTGTTTCTTTAGCTTTGGGCAATCAATGAAACAAGCATTATAGATGAAACTTTCTACCTTGGTCCCGATCCACAAAACGTTCGCGCTACGACATTCGTAAGCCTTTGATAAACTATACAATTACGACAGGTCGTAACGTTACGAACGCTTCGTGGATAGGGACCCAGGTGTTCTTATTAATGACTTTGGTGTCTCCTTTAACATATCAAGAGACCGTCCAGAAGATCCCTTGTCAATCTGTGTATTCATCCTGAACGTAGAGATGCTTACAATACTGAAAAACAAAATGGAGAGAAAGCGAACAGAATGAATAACTTTGACACTCTGTTATTAGTGTTAAGAATAAAACAGAAGTTGTTATCCATAAGACTTGTCATGTATTCATATTCATCCAACTTCTAAATGCCATTCAAAAACTTCAATTGACAAGCGAGTAAAAAATATGCTTCAACCTTTAAAGTTGCTCATAACAGTGGTTTTAACAGTATGGCAGCACTGACGATTCGGTTGAAAAAAGACATCTAGGAATCCTTGTTCATTTCGCGTCAGCTTGAGCAGTTTTCCATTTGACATTCTGAAAGCCAGTTGTGTCTCCTCTGTATCCAAAGAACCAGATGAGATGAGATTTCTGAAAAGCATCACTTGTTACATTCATTATGCTTATCGAGATGAAGTGGACGATGACACTGGGTTTTTGAGCACATCTGGTGTGAGGATACATTCACCTGGAGAAAAGCGGTGTGGTAACCCAGTGGTTAAAGCGTTCGCTCTTCACGCCGAAGACCCGAGTTCGACTTTCCACATGGGTACAATGTGTGAAGCCCATTACTAGTGTCTCCCCAGGTCATATTACAAGAACATTGCTAAAAGCTAAAGTCACCCTCATACTACGGAATATCGCTTAAAAAGGAGAAGCTGACAAGTGAGGCGTTCGAAGATACGCGTCGATTTGAAGGGTTGGTTGGTTTGTTGTTTAACGCTGCACTCAGCAATATTCCAGCTATATGGCGGAGGTTTGTAAAATTAATAATCTGGTCTAGACCAGACAATCCAGTGATCAACAGCATGATCATCGATCTATGCAATTGGGATACGATGACATGTGTCAAGCAAGTCAGCGAGCCTGACCACCCCATCCCGTTAGTCGCCTTTTACGACAAGCATGGGTTGCTGAAAACCAATTGTAGTTCTTATCTTGGGTTGAATCCCATCCGACAAAGTAGATTTCCACTTGGGTACATGTGTGAAGCACGCTTTTATGTCCCCCATTGTTATATAAGCAAAAAGCGGCGTAAAATCATACTCACATAATAATCACTAACATCCAAACTGTATTCACTAACCACTAACCAACACTGTCTTTAGATGACACGTCCATCCTCGGATCTACACCTTGGCTACACGCAACAAACACTGGGTGCAAGCAATCCCACGGAAGTACACCATGTTTTACTGGTTACACACCATACCAAATTCCACACCCTGGGCCTAGCAGATACCCGATTGGAAACACACCCAGCCCTGGAGCCACGCCTTACCTTGGACCAACACCTTGGCCAATTGGTTTCATACCATACCCTGGGGCGACTCCATACCCTGGACCTAGCAGATACCCGATTGGATACACACCCAGCCCTGGAGCCACGCCTTACCTTGGACCCACACCTTGGCCAATTGGTTACACACCATCCCCTGGGGCAACTCCATACCCTGGACCCAGTAGATACCCGATTGGATACACACCCAGCCCTGGAGCCACGCCTTACCTTGGGCCAACACCTTGGCCAATTGGTTTCATACCATACCCTGGGGCAACTCCATACCCTGGACCCAGTAGATATCCGATTGGATACACACCCAGCCCTGGAGCCACGCCTTACCTTGGACCCACACCTTGGCCAATTGGTTACACACCATCCCCTAGGGCAACTCCATACCCTGGACCCAGTAGATATCCGATTGGATACACACCCAGCCCTGGAGCCACGCCCTATCTGGGGAAACCCCATATCCCATCGGCTATGTCCCTTGGCCAGGTGCAACGCCTTACCCAGGACCAAGAATAGGATGAATTGACGTCATATACTATGTATCGCTGTAAAGAAATGTGATGATAAAGAATCATGTTGTTCCATGAGTCGTGCATTATTTGTTCCTCATCTGTGGGTGAGTGTTGGCGCGATGAAGATACAATGCGTTCATGTTTCACTGAAATACTACCACACTTCCCTCTAGTTAACCTGGACCCTATCCCTCTAGTTAACCTGGACCCTATTCCTCTTCCCTCTAGTTAACCTGGACCCTATCTCTCTTGTTAACCTGGACCCTATTCCTCTTCCCTCTAGTTAACCTGGACCCTATCCATCTAGTTAACCTGGACTCTATCCCTCTAGTTAACCTGGACCCTATCCCTCTAGTTAACCTGGACTCTATCCCTCATGTTAACCTGGACTCTATCCCTCTAGTTAACCTGGACCCTATTCCTCTTCCCTCTAGTTAACCTGGACCCTATCCCTCTAGTTAACCTGGACTCTATCCCTCTTCCCTCTAGTTAACCTGGACCCTATTCCTCTTCCCTCTAGTTAACCTGGAACCTATCCCTCTAGTTAACCTGGACTCTATTCCTCTAGTTAACCTGGACTCTATCCCTCTAGTTAACCTGGACCCTATCCCTCTAGTTAACCTGGACCCTATCCCTCTAGTTAACCTGGACCCTATCCCTCTAGTTAACCTGGACCTATCCTCTAGTTAACCTATTCCCTCTAGTTAACCTGGACTTCCCTCTTATCCCTAACCTGGACCCTATCCCTCTAGTTAACCTGGACTCTATCCCTCTAGTTAACCTGGACTCTATTCCTCTAGTTAACCTGGACTCTATCCCTCTAGTTAACCTGGACCCTATCCCTCTAGTTAACCTGGACCCTATCCCTCTAGTTAACCTGGACTCTATCCCTCTAGTTAACCTGGACTCTATTCCTCTTCCCTCTAGTTAACCTGGACCCTATCCCTCTAGTTAACCTGGACTCTATCCCTCTAGTTAACCTGGACCCTATCCCTCTAGTTAACCTGGACCCTATCCCTCTAGTTAACCTGGACCCTATCCCTCTAGTTAACCTGGACCCTATCCCTCTTGTTAACCTGGACCCTATCCCTCTAGTTAACCTGGACCCTATCCCTCTAGTTAACCTGGACTCTATCCCTCTTGTTAACCTGGACCCTATCCCTCTAGTTAACCTGGACCCTATCCCTCTAGTTAACCTGGACCCTATCCCTCTAGTTAACCTGGACTCTATTCCTCTTCCCTCTAGTTAACCTGGACCCTATCCCTCTAGTTAACCTGGACTCTATCCCTCTAGTTAACCTGGACTCTATTCCTCTAGTTAACCTGGACTCCCTATCCCTCTAGTTAACCTGGACCCTATCCCTCTAGTTAACCTGGACTCTATTCCTCTTCCCTCTAGTTAACCTGGACCCTATCCCTCTAGTTAACCTGGACTCTATCCCTCTAGTTAACCTGGACTCTATTCCTCTAGTTAACCTGGACCCTATCCATCTAGTTAACCTGGACTCTATCCCTCTAGTTAACCTGGACCCTATCCCTCTAGTTAACCTGGACTCTATCCCTCTTGTTAACCTGGACTCTATCCCTCTAGTTAACCTGGACCCTATCCCTCTAGTTAACCTGGACTCTATCCCTCTTGTTAACCTGGACCCTATCCCTCTAGTTAACCTGGACCCTATCCCTCTAGTTAACCTGGACCCTATCCCTCTAGTTAACCTGGACTCCCCTCTCCCTCTAGTTAACCTGGACTCTATTCCTCTTCCCTGGACCCTCTAGTTAACCTGGACCCTATCCCTCTAGTTAACCTGGACTCTATCCCTCTAGTTAACCTAACCTGGACTCCCTCTATTCCCCCTCTAGTTAACCTGGACTCTATCCCTCTAGTTAACCTGGACCCTATCCCTCTAGTTAACCTGGACCCTATCCCTCTAGTTAACCTGGACTCTATCCCTCTAGTTAACCTGGACTCTATCCCTCTAGTTAACCTGGACTCTATCCCTCTTCCCTCTAGTTAACCTGGACCCTATCCCTCTAGTTAACCTGGACCCTATCCCTCTAGTTAACCTGGACTCTATTCCTCTAGTTAACCTGGACTCTATCCCTCTAGTTAACCTGGACCCTATTACTCTAGTTTACCTGGACCCTATCCCTCTAGTTAACCTGGACTCTATCCCTCGAGTTAACCTGGACCCTATTCCTCTTCCCTCTAGTTAACCTGGGCGGTGGGGTAGACTAGTGGCTAAAGCGTTCGCTCGTCATGCCGAAGAGCCGGGTTCGATTCCCCACATTGGTACAATGTGTGAAGCCGATTTCTGGTGTTCCCCCGCCGTGATATTGCTGGAATATTGCTAAAAACGGCGTAAAACCCAACTCACTCACTCACTCTAGCTAACTTGGACCTTCCCTCTATTTAGATCTTATGCTTATGCTGTATGGATCTGTACTTGCAATGCAGACGCTTGAGTCACATGAATCATTCATTCACTGGAGCACTTACGCACGTGTGTGTCATCAGCAGTTGACATGGAAGTCACAGAAGTGTGACAGAATATTCTCAACAGAGCCATAACTAACTCAGTTTTATGGTCTGAAAATCGTTAAGAGAGTCACACGCCAACGGTTTATGTCAGTACTGTTGTGACATAACCATTTTAGAAGAAGAGAAGAAGAAGAAGGGTTTATTTTTTGTATAAAGGCCATACGACCCATCGTACAAGGTGGTACAATAGTGATTTTGGTTACCATGTTCATACAACAACGCTAACAGGAGCAGAATAAACATGTTCTAAGAACTTGACAAAATTATTTATGATGTTATTGTCGGATGATGTACATAGGCTGCGGAGTGAATAATAATATCCATGGACCGTTTTCGGAATGTAACGCCGACGCATATCATCATAGCGTTTACAAATATAGACAATATGGATTTCATCCTCAATACTTTTACAGTGTTTACATAATACAATATCATCATTGCAGGAGGCAGTACCTTTTCTAATATATTACACCCTGATCTAAATAATGTGAACAGACGCTTGCACTTATTACTTATGTTCAATGATAAATATTTTTCACAGGTCAACAGAGTTATGGGACTTATAGACGATATAGTGAAGTCTGTTTGTTTGTTATAGCGAAGGAACATCTAGGGACAAATGCCACTCTTGCATAGAGCAGTTGTTAATTCTTTGAGTAAACATATATAGAAATTTTTTTGTATCACCGACATCTTGTGAAATCCAAGCAGTACCAAAGCCAAGATAAAATAACAAATCACTGACATGCCGAGCCCATGTGGGACGTTTCCCGAATTCAACAGATAATAAAAATTGATAACATTGATATGGATATCTACTTTGATGCATTCTTAATAATCTTAGCCAGTATTTAATACATTTGACATAATAAACATTGCTTAAGGGTGCCCTCCCACATTCCCCATATGCAACAGCATTAGATGATCTGTAACTAATCTGAAGTAAAAATTTGCAAAATTTTCGATGGACAATTTCAATACTTTCTCTCTTTTTAAAACCCCATATCTCAGCACCATATGTTAGAATTGGTACAATCTTTTTATCAAAAATATAAAATCCTTCTGAGAGTGACATATCATATCGTCTTATAAATGACTTGATCGGCCACAGTGCCTTATTAGCTTGATCATATAATGTTTTACATGCCCTAGTCCAAATCAATTTGGGAGTTATCATAAGTCCTAGATATTTATAAATATTGACAGTTTCCATTCGAATGCCATTATAGAACCATTTTTCGTGTTTGGACAAGGGTCCACCCATTTTAAAAAACAATTATTTTACTTTTATCAGTATTAATATCCATGCCCCATTTATGGGAATACATATGTAGGGCGGCAAGGCGGCGCTGTAATCTAACAACAGTATCAGCTATCAAAACCAAATCATCTGCAAATAACAGAGCAATAATATTCAACATACTTTCGGAGATAAATATACCATCATCAAACTTATTTTCTAAGGTCAATACAAGCTCATTAATATATAAAGAAAATAATACCGGACTAAGGACACAGCCTTGCCAAATCCCCACAGGCGCTATCAAGATATTCAGTTAATTTCTTACCATACTCATAGGTTACAGTGGCCTTGACATTAGTATACATATTTTTAATCAACTTGAAATTTTTTCCATGGATCCCATTTTGCAAAAGAACATACAGTAATTTAAACCTATTCACCATGTCAAAGGCCTTGCGAAAATCTGTGAATGCAATATATATCTTCCCATTTTTACGTGTTAAATACTTCTGAATGATTGTCTGGAGAATAAAGATACTGTCCACAGTCGAATGGTCTGTCTTAAATCCACCCTGATATTCTCCAATTATCTCACGAAGTTGCAAAAAGTACTCCAATCTTTTGTGTAGAACCGAAACAAAAACTTTGCTCATTACATTCAGAAGAGAGACCCCTATAATTATTCGGGTCAGATCTACTACCTTTCTTATGTAGTGAGATAATAATGCCAGTTGACCAGGAATTTGGCCAAAAGCGGGATGAGAGTATTTTGTTGAACAGTAGGGAACTATTATATGTTCAGAAACTTTGAAAAACTCTGCGGGAATACCATCATCGCCTGGGGATTTGTTACATTTTAGATGTCTGATAGCATTTATTACATCCTGATCTGTAAAGTCACATGATAGAATATCATCGTCATTGTTACAATCAACACATGTATTAAAGTCATGTTTATCAACATATGATTTGGCATCTTCTGAAAAGTTGCCATCTTCTGACAACGTTGGGTTTAACAAGTCCTTAAAGTATTCAGCCCATGTTGATGGCGTAACACTTTCTTCCATGGGGCGAGTTGTGGTATATTTTTTCACAAGTCGCCAAAATGCAGAGCAGTCTTAGTAATGGAACGTTTATAGCTATCTTTCTTAGTTTTACAAGTCTGTTTGAACTGAGATCTAATGTCTTTGTATCTATTCAGATTCTCAAATGTTGTTGTTTTTCTAAACACATTAAGCAGTTTATACTTTTCATATTTAAGAGTCTGACACTGTTGATCAAACCATTCTGGTTGTTGTTTAGCGTTGATGGTTTTGGGTTGTCTACATTCCATATCGCGCCCACAGGTTTGCAGAATGCGCTGCAGTGTGTTTAATGCTTTGTCAGTGTTGACATGTAAACTGCTTATAAAGTCCTGAAACAAATCACTTGTATCAGCATTTTGCAGGTTATCAAAATATAATTGTGATTTTTCATTTTTCCATTTAAATTTATTTCTGTTACTACAATGAAAATACTTATCATCGGCTGGCCTGTCCACATCGAACAGGGATGAGATTGTGGTTGTGAGTGGGAGATGGTCAGACTCCGTGCGAGAAACACTCTTGAAGTCCTCCACATAACGGTATAACGATGCTGACACTGCAATGTAGTCCGGTGTGCTACAACCGGTAGAACCAATATGTGTATAGTCCCCCTCATCTGAGAATCTGCCATTTAACAGGTACCATCAAAAAGTTTTGCATAAGTCTAGTAATTCTCTTCCATAGTTATTTACAACAAGATCTTTATTTTTACGATTTGGGTACACAGGTGGGGCATCAAGTTCCTAGTATGTATCCTCGTCCAAACGTGGAAAATCAACACTATCATCAACAATATAGTCTAATTCAGCGCCAGTTCTGCCATTAAAATCGCCACAAATAATGAAGTCAGTATCTGGATATTAGTTTTTTATTGCCACAATGTAACTTTCCAATCGCTCAACCCCATCGTTACTGTTAGGTTTTTCCGGTGTTATATAGACACAACCCAGAATAAGCCTTTTGCCTGACCGTATGCGCCGAATGGAAACAAGAAACACGGCGTCCACCCACTCCTCGTGTAGACGATGGAAAAAAGATGAAATACTGTCACCCATAAGTATAGCAACGCCACCGCTGAACCGGCCGATGTTGTTTATCTTAGGGGAACTGATTGAAATGCTGTATAACAGGCAATTAAGTTACTAAAGTCATCATAACATTTGGCCCAGGTTTCAGTCAAACATATGATATCATATTTAGAGATAAAGTCACAAAAGTCTGGATGGATTACTTTACTATATAGGCCGTTTACATTCCAACACAATAGGCTTATTGGTTGCAGAGAATGTGATGCATCCGGAATACCCGTGGAGCACGAGCTTTCTGATCGGGTGTCAATGTCAATGTCGATATCAGTCACAGGGTAACGGCCAACCTGCTACAAAACACTGTGGTTTGGGTCAGCATGACCTAGCGAGTGTGGTCCGTGTATATCTCCGGCGAATTTGACTAGAGCCCCAGAACTATCCGGCATGAACTTAACATCATCTATAACTAGAAAGTCGCCTTTGATGTATGCTGTTTTGCCTTGGTCCCTGGCCTGTTTGAGGTGGGGTATGAGTTGTTTTCTTCTGAGTCTTGTTTTGGGAGAGAAGTCCTCAGATATTCTGAATGTTGTGTTGCCTTTCAGCTCTGCCTTAGCCTTGTTGAGGACGGTAAGTTTGTTGTCTCTGGAGACGAACTTCATCATGATAGGCGGGTTCCCCCTGTTCACGCTTTGTACCCAATCTGTGGACAGTGTCGAAAAGAATATCATCTCCATTTTGTAGACATAACGTATCCTTCAGAAATGAATAAACTTTCCTTTTAGATTCACTAGACTCTTCATACCGTCCTTCCATTTCCATTCCAAATAAAATCAAATTATTTCTTCTGGAGTAGTTCTCACTTTTATCAAGTTTGGCCTCTAAAGCAGTGATAGTGTTTGCCTGAGACGTCACTATCTTCTTAAGATCTCTATTTTCGGTTTGAATTTGGTCCAACTGATTATTTAATTTGGCATTGTTTTGGTCCACTGTATTGTTCAGGGTCGTAAGCATTTCACTCATGGACGCTATTGTCTTATTCAACGCATCAAATTGGCCAGTCAGTGCTTTTATAGACTCACTCACGCTGTTGTCCGCCTCGGTGTCCGGCTGGGATCCCCTCCCTCTTGTGTTGGGGCCTGGTCCCGGGTTGGACTCGATGTCACCCGACAACAGAAGCTGCCATCTTGCATCAAATGTAAACACTGTAGAGTCAGTGCAACTCATCTCGCACGTGCACATGCTTGAAATTTCTTGACAATAATTAAAGTTGTCTGTGCTGGGTAAATTAGAGAAAATATGTTCGGGATTAACACTGTATATCAGTAGACTGTGACTCATTAGCATAATGACAGTTAACGTGACACCAACTGCGTACAGCCTGTAGGCGAGATCCATACCTGGAGTCCATGTTGTCTCCGACATGTACTTGCTAACATGTTCAATTTGTCTGTGACCCCTGGGCATCTTAAAACACCCAATTCTACATCTCCAACTGTCCACGTCGATCCCCATTCTTCATTAAACGTATTGTGCCCAAGAAAAAGGCACTACAAAGGCTTGACAAAGAAAGAAAACGTATTTTTTTTCTCCCGCGATGTCGTCGCCGTATCTAACTATTCAGGGGCAGGTAACCATTTTGCGATGCTTGTTTAATGCCATCTCAGGATATGCTTCGTTTGATGAATGATAAGAAGCACTCTTGCTTGACAACGGTATAAGAATCTATACCCAAACGTCGTATCATAATATAATCAAGAAGTTGTTATCCAGAAAGTATCATACCTTTCTTATATCAGGATATTCCCCGTGTATGATGGCAGATGAAAATGATAGAATTTGGACCAACCAAACCTGTGATGTATACTGAAGCAACGGTACCCGTGGCCGGAGATGATGATAATCTCAATCACTAAATTAACCAGACAATTCCATCCGGTTGGTCGCCTCTTAAGGCCAGCGGCGGTGAGGTAGCCAAGTGGTTAAAGCGGTCGTTCGTCACGCCGAAGACCTGGGTTCGATTCCCTACATGGGTACAATGTGTGAAGCCCATTTCTGGTGTCCCCCGGCATGATATTGCTGGAATATTGCTAAAAGCAGCATGAAACCATACTCACTCACTGCAGACCAGCATATGTTGCTTGGAACAATCCATGCAGACCAGAGAAACCTGTGATTTATATCTGCAGCAGTGATACAAATAGTCGGAGCATGACGATAATCGTTTTGTAATAACGATAACGTTGGCCACGCCCAATCAGTAGCGTAGTGTGATATGGTATGACCGAATCGCATTATTGTACATTATCGCATGGATTATAACTCACGCTTCTGACCTTTTTGATACTAAATCACCTCAAGTCTTGATTGTCTGTTAACATTTGACTGTTTCCGGACAGGAGTACAAACACGTTATGCACACTGTGTAGCGGGTGCTACCACTGAATTTCAGTGATCCGTTCATATAAGTTTCACTCTGATTTTGGCGACATTTAATAGTTAACAGGCTGCACGCCAAATGTCAGTCTAGTGATGTTATATGAGTAGCTCATACAGGACATGGCCATTTGTATTTCGTCCCAGTTCATGCAATTTTATATCTATTTCGTGAAGATCGGGGTTAGTATTGATCCTTAGAAACCAGTGTTTGTAAAATGCAACAAAAGGTAAGCTAGCTGACCTGGCTAACCCTTGTTTCAAAATGGCGTAGATCGATGCCCATTGTGTTTATTACTGGACTGAGGCGGTGAGGTAGCCTATTGGTGAAAGCGTTACAACGAAGACCCGGGTTCGTTTCCCACATGGGTACAATGCGTGAAGCCCATTTCTGGTGTTCTCCGCCGTGATATTGCATGAATATTGCTAAAAGCGGCGTAAAACTGAACTCACTCTCTATCACTGGACTGTCTGGTCAAGATTTACAGACCGCTGTAATATATCTGGAATATTGCTGATTACGGCGTTAAACAACAAACAAAGGAAACAAATATATATATATCTGTCAAACGAATATATCACATGAATATTAACAGACCGCTGTATAAATCAGAAATATTTACTGATTGTGGCGTTAAATAACAAACAAATCAAACGAAAATGTCAAACGAATATATCACATGAATATTAATAGACAGACCGCTGTACATATCGGAAATATTACTGATTGTGGCGTTAAATAACAAACAAATCAAACGAAAATGTCAAACGAATATATCACATGAATATTAACAGACCGCTGTATATATCGGAAATATTACTGATTGTGGCGTTAAATAACAAACAAATCAAACGAGAATGTCAAACGAATATATCACATGAATATTAACAGACCGCTGTATATATCGGAAATATTACTGATTGTGGCGTTAAATAACAAACAAATCAAACGAGAATGTCAAACGAATATATCACATGAATATTAACAGACCGCTGTATATATCGGAAATATTACTGATTGTGGCGTTAAATAACAAACAAATCAAACGAGAATGTCAAACGAATATATCACATGAATATTAACAGACCGCTGTATATATCGGAAATATTTACTGATTGTGGTGTTAAATAACAAACAAATCAAACGAGAATGTCAAACGAATATATCACATGAATATTAACAGACCGCTGTATATATCGGAAATATTACTGATTGTGGCGTTAAATAACAAACAAATCAAACGAGAATGTCAAACGAATATATCACATGAATATTAACAGACCACTGTATATATCGGAAATATTACTGATTGTGGCGTTAAATAACAAACAAATCAAACGAGAATGTCAAACGAATATATCATGAATATTAACAGATCCGCTGTATATATCGGAAATATTTACTGATTGTGGCGTTAAATAACAAAACAAATCAAACGAGAATGTCAAACGAATATATCACATGAATATTAACAGACCGCTGTATATATCGGAAATATTACTGATTGTGGCGTTAAATAACAAACAAATCAAACGAGAATGTCAAACGAATATATCCACATGAATATTAACAGACCGCTGTATATATCGGAAATATTACTGATTGTGGCGTTAAATAACAAACAAATCAAACGAGAATGTCAAACGAATATATCACATGAATATTAACAGACCGCTGTATATATCGGAAATATTTACTGATTGTGGCGTTAAATAACAAACAAATCAAACGAGAATGTCAAACGAATATATCACATGAATATTAACAGACCGCTGTATATATCGGAAATATTACTGATTGTGGCGTTAAATAACAAACAAATCAAACGAGAATGTCAAACGAATATATCACATGAATATTAACAGACCGCTGTATATATCGGAAATATTTACTGATTGTGGCGTTAAATAACAAACAAATCAAACGAGAATGTCAAACGAATATATTAACAAACAAATCAAACGAAAATGTCAAACGAATATATCACATGAATATTAACAGACCGCTGTATATATCGGAAATATTACTGATTGTGGCGTTAAATAACAAACAATTCAAACGAGAATGTCAAACGAATATATCACATGAATATTAACAGACCGCTGTATATATCGGAAATATTACTGATTGTGGCGTTAAATAACAAACAAATCAAACGAAAATGTCAAACGATTATATCACATGAATATTAACAGACCGCTGTATATATCGGAAATATTACTGATTGTGGCGTTAAATAACAAACAAATCAAACGAAAATGTCAAACGAATATATCACATGAATATTAACAGACCGCTGTATATATCGGAAATATTACTGATTGTGGCGTTAAATAACAAACAAATCAAACGAAAATGTCAAACGAATATATCACATGAATATTAACAGACCGCTGTATAAATCAGAAAAAGTACTGATTGTGGCGTTAAATAACAAACAATTCAAACGAATATATCACATGAATATTAACAGACCGCTGTATATATCGGAATTATTACTGATTGTGGCGTTAGATAACAAACAAATCAAACGAAAATGTCAAACGAATATATCACATTAATATTAACAGACCGCTGTATATATTGGAAATATTACTGATTGTGGCGTTTAATAACAAACAATTCAAACGAGAATGTCAAACGAATATATCAGATGAATATTAACAGACCGCTGTATATATCAGAAATATTACTGATTGTTGCGTTAAATAACAAACAAATCAAACCAGAATGTCAAACGAATATATCACATGAATATTAACAGACCGCTGTATATATCGGAAATATTACTGATTGTGGCGTTAAATAACAAACAAATCAAACGAAAATGTCAAACGAATATATCACATGAATATTAACAGACCGCTGTATATATCGGAAATATTACTGATTGTGGCGTTAAATAACAAACAAATCAAACGAAAATGTCAAACGAATATATCACATGAATATTAACAGACCGCTGTATATATTGGAAATATTACTGATTGTGGCGTTTAATAACAAACAATTCAAACGAGAATGTCAAACGAATATATCAGATGAATATTAACAGACCGCTGTATATATCGGAAATATTACAGATTGTGGCGTTTAATAACAAACAAATCAAACGCAAATGTCAAACGAATATATCACATTAATATTAACAGACCGCTGTATATATTGGAAATATTACTGATTGTGGCGTTTAATAACAAACAAATCAAACGCAAATGTCAAACGAATATATCACATTAATATTAACAGACCGCTGTATATATTGGACTGACTGACTGACTGAGTGTGGTTTTACACCGCTTTTAGCAATATTCCAGCAACATCACGGCGGGGTACACCAGAAATGGGCTTCACACATTGTGCGTATATATTGGAAATATTACTGATTGTTGCGTTAAATAACAAACAATTCAAACGAGAATGTCAAACGAATATATCACATGGATATTAACAGACCGCTGTATATATCGGAAATATTACTGATTGTGGCGTTAAATAACAAACAAATCAAACGAGAATGTCAAACGAATATATCACATGAATATTAACAGACCGCTGTATATTTCGGAAATATTACTGATTGTGGCGTTAAACAACAAACAAGTCAAACGATCGCTGTAAAATATTTGAAATATTGTGAAGTTTAAACAACAAACAAATCAAACGAATGGCTCTTTCCATACATATTGAGTCTCTATGGGAATGCGTATGTAGACCGGGTTTCCAGTTGCTTGTACGAACTTGTGGTATGAGTAATGTAAATGAAACCTGTGTCTTGCGTGTTATTGAACTCTATGGTCCGGTTGGCTGCTCAAGCCAGATGACCACTTCCGGTTGTCTAAGCGCGGCAATTCGCTGTACAGATTTGCGTCCTTGAAGCGGCGTTCTCACGGTGTGAACCTGTAGTAACAACTTGTAGTAAACGACTTGTAGTAACAACTTGTAGTATACGACTTGTAGTAAACAACTTGTAGTATACGACTTGTAGTATACAACTTGTAGTAACAACTTGTAGTATACGACTTGTAGTAACAACTTGTAGTAACAACTTGTAGTAAACGACTTGTAGCATACGACTTCTAGTAACAACTTGTAGTATACGACTTGTAGTAACAACTTGTAGAAAACAACTTGTAGTATACGACTTGTAGTAACAACGTGTAGTAACAACTTGTAGTATACGACTTGTAGTAACAACTTGTAGTAACAACTTGTAGTATATGACTTGTAGTAACAACGTGTAGTATACTACTCGTGGTACTAACTTGTAGAAACAACTTGTAATAACAACTTGTAGTATTCGACTTGTAGTATACGACTTGTAGTAACAACTTGTAGTATACGACTTATAGTAACAACTTGTAGTATATGACTTGTAGTATACGACTTGTAGTATACGACTTGTAGTATACGACTTGTAGTAACAACTTGTAGTATACGACTTGTAGTAACAACTTGTAGTATACGACTTGTAGTAACAACTTGTAGTATACGACTTGTAGTAACAACAAAGATCGTAACGTCTTTGTTATTCCTGTACTTTTTAAGTCGCGTATCTCGCGGGATATCTTCTTTTCTAAAACACTCGATTTCTTCTCTGGTATTTTTATGTCAGTCCTGTCTCCGACATGATGTCACCATAAGCAAAAGGGACGTCACTCAGGTGGACACAGATCTAGGCTATTTGATTGGTCGAGAGCTTGCGACTTGGTGTCCTCACGTTGCGATTGTGTCGCATATGCTACAAGGTTGGTCACTAGAAGTAGCACCATGAGAACGCACCTTTAGACTCTCCAGAAAACTGTGATCGTAGGTTCGAATCCCGGATTAGTGGTTTGTGTGTTGCTGCTGGGCACGAACAGGCTACAAGCCACCAAACAGGCTCTATCCACAGTACCACGGATGCAGTCAAGGGCCCTTATTCTCGGAACGTTCTTAGCACTAAGAATTCTTAATGTTTATTGTAGCCAATGTGTTAAGAATGGGCTTAAGAAGTTCGTAGGGCTACGAACGTTTCGAGAATAGCTAGCGTGGTGCTTTGGGATTATTCCAAAAGAAATACGTAAACTTAAATATTTTTTAATAATACGTAAAGTAAATGTTTTGATAGTGACTTACCAGCCATTATGTCCAAGTTACCAAAACGCCACTGGTATCGCACCCAGTTGGAACGAATAAACCGGTTGTGTACTTTCTTTTCTTGTATAAACTTCTTCAGTCTATATCATCCAGAACATCATCTGCAACATCGATATGTGAGACAAACACTGTATTGATTCATCTTTACAAAGCCGTTTCTACTGTTTGCAGATGTTTTCGTCGAACTTGACTAACCTGACACAGACGATAGGCCGTACTTTGTAAAGATTCACTTCTTCTTAATTTGCACTTATGACATAATTTAACACAGGGTTGAATTTCGTTTTGCAGGTTTGTAGATCAATTGCTTGACAAGAATTGTGTGGAATTCCTAAACTCTAGAAGGTAAATATTTAATTTCAGTATCGCAATACACATCGTATTTATCAATACCTGTCCAAAAGCGCGTACGCGCCCTCGACGTTTTGAAATATTATAGTAAGTCGTCATTAGTGTATTTACAGATGTATTCACAGTATTGTGAGTTAGCTTTTACGTTGCTTGTATTTTCAATGTGTTGAATTAATGTGACATTTCAAATATTCAGGATGTTTTCGTTTGCTTTCAGCACGGTGTTGCTAAATAATTGATACATGTTCTTCAAAGAGCTTTCTGAGATAGACAAAAAGCGACGTGGTGTGGACACAGGATTTCTGAAGAGGCTCGCATCAGGATATTCTCAAGGGAAAAGAAAAAGCCTAATGAAGCGTAACTTCACTATTTCTAGATTTGTAAATATCACGTTTGGTTTGTTTGTTTGTTTGTTGTTTAACGCCGCACCTAGCAATATTGCAGCGATATGGCGGCGGTCTGTATATAATCAAGTCTGGATCAGACAATCCAATGATCAACAGCATGATCATCGATTTACACAAGTGGGCTACTTTTACATGTGTCATCCAAGTCAGCCAGCCTGACCACCCGATCCCGATCGTTGCTTCTTACGACAAGCATGGATGGGTGGATGGATGGATGGATGGATGGATGGAGATCAAGTCTAACCTGGATCTTCACGGGTAGAGTGAGTCATGAAAAAAGTATGAGGACATAGTGAGAGTCATCTAAAACATGACACGTGTAAGGGAGGTGAAATATTTCTGGTATATCACGGTATTGTAAATCTCTTCCTAGTTTCGCCCTCACACCCGGCAAAATATAGTATTTTTGCATTTCCATGAAATCTTCCAGTACCACTGATAAAACTCTATTCTGGATGTATTGTACGTTATTGTACGTTCAACGAACATCCCTATGACCCCAGAATCCACATAGCACATAAAACACATAAATCATATGCCAATTCACAAGCACCACTGAAGCCCAAGCACATACATCACCATACCTCTAGCACGCAGTAAGCACAAACAACCTCAAGCCGAACATCACTGTGCCTCGAGCACATACATCACAGTACACATTTAAGCATATGCACCCTATAAATCAAGCACATGCATCGCTGTACCTCAAGCACATGCATCACTGTATAATTAGCACACACATCACCATACCTCAATCACATGCATCATCACTCCTCAACCACATGCACAACCATACATTAAGCACATACATCGCCGCACATCAAACACGTGGAGCCCTTACTGAGCATATATAGATGTACCTGTCACCAGGCATTCCGTCTTGTCTGAAAATCGATGTAGTCGGCAAAGGCAGCGAGCGATGTCCATTATAAGTACAAGTAGGGTGCTGGATAGCTGAAGCTCGTTTTCATTCCATGTGAGGAGGATGTCGTCTAACCATGGTGAAATTGTTTTCCTAATTTTGGGGATGGTAAAGCTTGCCCATTGTGACAACTGCTTTGACGTGACTACTATAGTGCAGCGTGACAAGTACATGGAACACCAGGTGTTCAGAAAGTTCCGGAGTCCGTCTTTGTACATTTGTGCATCAGAATGTCTCATGTCCTCAGGATGTCTATCCTTTGGATTTGACGAGAAAACGCGCACCTGCCTTCTCAACGATAAGGACAGTGTCAATGGAAATGTTGTTGACAGAACGGGATACCTCTTCAGTGACATCCTCCACTGGCCAAAGGTTGGTGTCCGTTTGATAGATTAATTTAAAAAACCCAACTTGAATGTATTATCTAAGGGAAAATATTCATTTCAAGTTTGATTGTTTCATTATGCTGTGACGTTCATTGATGATATTGCTCCAGTGAAAAAGAGTACATCTTGGCATAAATTCTTTGATTTGTTAAAAATATAAATCGCAAACCTTCTTAAAACTACAATACATTTGTGTCGAGGGATCTGAGTAAATATTTCACGTGCTTGGAGTTTTGTCACATTCGAAAATGATGACTTATTAAGTGAGTGAGTGAGTGAGTGAGTGAGTGGGTGAGTATGGTTTTACACCACTTTTAGCAATATCGCGACGGGGGACACCAGAAATAGGCTTCACACATTGTACCCATGTGGGGAATCGAACCGGGTTTTCAGCGTGACGAGGGGACACTTTAACCACTGGGCTACCTCAACGCCCCAACTTAAGAAGGAGTATGCAAGTACCAAGATTTACTTCGGGACAACCTACCTGCAACACATCGGTGTTTGGCTGTATTCATTCTAAATATATAGGAATAGATGACTTTACAATTGATCCCGACATGTTATTGTTTGTTTGACACCGCACTCAGCAATAATCCACATATAACAGTGACCTGTAATTAATTGAGTCTGGGCTAGACCATCTCGGAAATCAAACCCCAAAATGTTTTGATAGTTTAAAGGTTTGTTAAGAAATAATTTCGATGATGTATTTACCACCCCTAGCGGCATCGGAATGACTCATTGTGTTTGTTTGTTGTGATACACCAGATATTCCAGCTATATGACAGCGGTCTGTAAATAATCGAGTCTGGACCAGACAATTCACCGATTGACATCACGACCACCTATCGAGGCAAATGGGATTCGGTGACATGTGTCAACCAAGTGAGCACGCCTGACCTCCCGATCCCGTTAGTGGCCACCTATTGAGCCGTTATGTTCGGGTGACTCACGCTTTAAGGACACCATGAGATGTGGTTTCTACCCTTGACATGTTATTCAAACTAGGGCACTCGTGAAGAGCAACCTCCTTGTGAGTTCTGGGTGATGCTAATAGCTCTTCCCCTGTATGGATCCGGGCAAGAATAGGTCCACAGCACCCCATTGCTGGTCGACCGAATTGGGCAACCTGTTTGCCATGGGTTGTGTCGGGGATGGGGTTGGGGTGTGGGGTGTGTGTGTGTGTGTGAGTGTGTGAGAGAGCGATAGGATTCTGGTGGTAAAGGCAAAGGAGCCACGAACCGTGTTCCTTTCGCCCACCACACCACTTCGACTCTTACTTCACGTATAGTCCGTTTGGCTCAAAAGCGGACCGATGAATTGCAATCTAACTCGAAAACTTATAAACATAAAATACTCAATGAAACACTGATCATAATGAAAACGTCAGACCAACTCTGAGAGGTGTTTGCAGAATTTATGTCCTAAATATAAAAACGTTGTTTAACAAACTATCATTAAAATATCGACACAGTTCACTATTTGTTACGTGGGAGGAGTGCAGAGAAAGGGACAGCCAGGTGTGCGAGAAAGGATGGAGACGGCACATCACAGGTTAATGAATCAATAACTTTGTCGGCACTTGTGCACGTGCTTCTCTAACACCTGGCAGTCCCTTTCTCTGCACTCCTCCCTAGTAACAAATAGTGAACTGTGTCAATATTTTAATGATAGTTTGTTAAACAATTTTTTTAATTTTAGGACATAAATTCTGCAAACAAATCACAGAGTTGGTCTGATATTTTGATTATGATCAGCGTTTCATTGAGTATTATATGTTTATTAGTTTTTGAGTTAGATTGCAATTCATCGGCCCGCTTTTGAGCCAAACGCACTATAGACGGGTGGTGGAATAGACCCGGTTCTATCTACCGGCTGCACACGACATGCCTTGTGCATGGAAAACGTTCATGTTGAAAAATTTAGCTCCAATGGATGCTGAAAATCAGTAATGTTAATAGAAAATTTGAAATTTGAAAAATAGAATATACACAAATTCTGGTTCCGCTCGAAATAATAAAAAAGGCGTCTGGGGGCTGAAAATGTTTCAACTCCAAAACAGCAGAAAAACCGGAAAGATTTATAGTCAATGAGGATACAAATGGTGTACCCCACAAACTAAATCCATTTTGGACATCCAAGACTATCCAATCTATCTGTGGAGAAGTCAAGAACGTTTCCTGTCTCTGAGGTGGTCAGCTCCTTGTTGAGTGTGCAAGGAGACAGCAGTTAATTAAACTATTACAACAGCATCAGTTTGCAAACATCAGCGTTGCTGTAACAGCACATAAACACTCAACTCTAGTAGAGGCATTGTTCGAGACACATTCCGTTGTTTGCCAGATATGTTAGTGGACGACATATTGACGAATTTAAGGATAAAAATGTCACTTCTGCCAAGAAGCAGGAGTGTAAAGCTATTCCAAGAAACACCTACCCGTATACGTTGACCACAGTGCCCAAATCACTGGATTCTTCAAGGTGTATATCCTCACTCCAAACCAATGTTACACATGTCAAAAGTCTGGTTCCAAATTCTGCCATAACGCTCATCGTTGTCATCCTTGCAGTGAGGATCATCAGGATTCTGATTGCAGTAAAGATCATAAATGTGTAAACTGCGGCGGCTACCATGTTTCTTCCTCGAAATCTTGCCCTGAGTGTCAGATTCAATGAAGAATTCAGAGGTTTAAATGAAAAATAAATATCTTTCTTTGATTTGCTCAAAATCAGAATCAACTCACGTCATCTCCGACAGTTAGTTTTTTCAGCTGCCATTTCCAGAAAAGCAAAATCAGTCTCAGTTTTTGCCAAACTGTTTTGACGTTTGACTTGGAGGTGAGGTGAAATTGGGTTTAACGTCGCGCTGGAGAATATTTCGCTCAAATGACGACGTGCATGCGTATGTATGTGTATGTGCGGCTGCTTGTACTAGCCGCACATACTAGTTAAGCTGATTTTATAGTGCTAGCTCACTGAGGTACCATGCCGCAGTGAAGCATGAATACCCCACTCAGACACATTATACTGACTCCGAGCCGACCAGTCCTTGTTGTACCCATTAATGCCGAGCGCCAGGCGGGGACCTACAAGTACCATATTTTAACGTCTTTTGGTATGACGCGGCCGAGGATCGAACCCGCGACCTTCCGCTCTCCGGGCGGACGCTCTAACCACTACACCACGGAGGCAGTCTTTTTGACTTGGATTGAATCGAAACAACCCCATACTGTACGAACTGCTTCTGACAGCCAGTCGGCCATAACATCTGCTTCTCAGACTGCAAATCAATCGCAAGAAACGATTGCTCAGCCAAATGTTCATGTTGACCAAAATGTTGAAATATCAAAAACGCCTAAACCGGAAACAATCATTAAAGCTCCCTCTCCTGTAGAAAGGCCTGTAACAGTAGAGGTTCATAACTCCTTTGAATCCCTGGAAATGGAAGTGACGTCATCTCCAGAAAACAAAAAAATGAGTTCTTCCTCACGTTTGCGTTAGAGATCCCCCGCAGAACCACCACGAGCCAATATCCTAATTTAATACAGTGGAATTGCAGAGGTCTAAGGAACAATTGTAATGAAGGTGGATTATTCACACATGATTTTAAACCATCAGCAAGTTTGAAATGCGTCAGTACAATTCGTATGACAATTTTTCACCTTCAGGTGATAAAGCTACTGGCGGCTGCTCTATTGGTGAGGTAGGGTGTCCTCCAAAGCCTTGTCCATCTTAACATCTTTGAGATGATGAACATTTGTGAATTTGTGCCTTTGCCTTTGATTCTCTGTTTCATGTTCCACACCTTCGTCGACACGTGAAGGTCCGGGTTAGAATATTGATCTTCAGTAACCCATGCTTGTCGTAAGAGGCGACTAACGGGATCGGGTGGTCAGACTCGCTGACTTGGTTTACACATGTCATCGGCTCCCATTTGCGCAGATCGATGCTCATGCTGTTGATCACTGGAATGTCTGGTCCAGACTAAATTATTTACAGACCGCCGCCATATAGCTTGAATTTTGCTGAGTGCGGCGTAAAACTAAACTCACTCACTCCACACCTTCGTCATAGGTGAATGTGAACTTGATACACATTTCTTCCAAGATTGTTTGATGCACATTTCTTCCAAGATTGACGCTTCCTTTGTTTAATTGTACGACGCGCCTTGGCACTATTTATGTTTACATTATTTAAATTTTGAACTGTTGGATGGCGGCAAAATCTTCCTACACTTCTTAGCGTGTTTACAGTCGTTTCTTGAAACCAATAATGTTCTTACAAAGATTCAATGTGGTTTCGCAAGAATAGAAGTATCATTGACCATTTCGTTCAGTTGGAAGCATTTACTAAACATTTAATTGAAAATAACCAGCATGATGTGCCAATCTTGAAAACCTGGAAACAACTTATAACATAACATGGAAACATGACATTTTGAGATGTATATGGCTTTAGTTTGGAAGACCGTTTGCCTCATTTTATATCACAGTTTTAACAGACAGATAATTTCAAGTTCGTGTTGGCTCAAACCTGTCTCACCATTATAATCAGGAGCAGGGGATTCCACAAGACAGCATTATGTCTGTTACTTTGTTTAGCATAAAAAATAGTCTCAAAAGTATTAAATGACTCAATAGATGGGTCATTGTTTGCGGATATTATAATGTCTCATGTCGTGGTACAAATATGCATACTATCGAAGACAATTACAGATGTGTTTGAATAAAACTCAAAAATGGTCACTTGTTTAAATTTTCTGTCGAAAATGTAAACCTCACAGAGATCCCGTCTGATTTGTTTTTTGGTACTGATTTTCGAACATCATTTGACCGTTTTGCCACATATCAAATACTAGTATCTGAAGACCAAATGTCTGAAGGCCTTAGATCTATTAAAAGTCGTCTCAAAGTCAAAGTAGCGAGGGGATCAAACAGCCCTCCTTTACTTATATATACTACCCATCAAAAGTTTAGACTCGCT